TATTCTAATGCTATACAGTATTTGAATACTGACACTAAGGTATCCAAATACTTTTCTTCCTAAAAAAGTATCCCCATACTCCTTCAAGAGTATTCGACTATCACTTGATAAGTATTCGAATACTCCACGAAAAGTATTCGAATATTTATCAGACAGAATGCAGAGTTCGTGTAGTTGTTTTGCATAATCACCATTTTAAGGGTCCTAACTCGATTTGGAGTCCAATAACTCCATAAACAGATGTTCATTAACGTATTTTAGAGCATGTTTGGTGCATAGTATAGGATAAGGCCTGATAGTATAAGACCTGATAGTATAAGGCCTGATTGTATAAGACCTGATTGAATTTTAATACTATCAAGCGTTTGGCACGGTATTGTATAAAATAATATATTGTATAAGATAATATCATCTAGTATTTGGTAATGCACTGTATAATACTATATATGATAAAAATAAATATTTTTAATAAAAATATCCTTTAATAAAAAATTTATATAATTCTACAAAAAATGTCATATGATATTAATTTGTATAAAAATTTATTGATCAGTGTGTCCAAAATATAAATTAATTTTTATAAAAATAAAAATATTCAATATTTTAAAAATTAATATATTGAAAAATAAATTTTTATTTTAATAGATTAATATTGAAATAATATATTAATTTTTGAGAATTACATTGGTCAACGATGTTAATACATCAATCTCTTATCAGGTCTTATCCCTCACCCTTAGGCCGGATTAAGTTATACATCGTTTTGATGTATTAAGGGATTGTGCTGTATAATAAGCTTATACTATACGGTGGTCACACCAAACAACTAAAAATGTCATAACGTATAGTATAAGCTTATACTATCATGCCTTATACGTCACACCAAACAGGCCCTTAAACATAGATTATCATCCTTTAGCTCAAATGATCAAAGTTTCATCTTTTAATGGCTTAAACAAGCTAAAATCATGACTATTCAAAGGTGGTGATCATGGTGTACCTCAAGACTTGAAAACTCAGAAAAAGACACTGCCTTGGAGCTTCCAAATCAATCCCAAGGCTCTGACTTTCAAGGACCACGAAAATGCACCACGAGCTTGGTCCTTTACACTTAAAAATGACTTCTTGAAGCCTTAAATGCCAAGACAATGGCTTCCCCCACCAAGCTCAAAAACTCAGCACCTCAAACTCATCCAAACTGACTCTACAACTCAGAAAAAGGCCGACTACCACTCTCCAAAGGCACTCCACATAGTGTTTCCAAGGTTAAATGGGAAGAATCAATGAAAAGGTAGCTTCTTGGCTCACATTCATGCATGAGAGTCCAAGCTTCCAGGAGAGGGGAAGGTTCAGAAACCAAAGAGCAAGGGTCAACACGTAGAGGCTGAAATATGGCTCTGTGTAAATTGAGTATTTATAGCCTCATTAAGTTCTAAGCGTCAGTATTAGCAATAATAGCTCCGCTTAACATTTTAATCTCAAATTTTAGATTCTGGACCTAGCCATTTTTATAGGATTTGTCATATTTTTATTATAATTTTTCCAGCACTTTATCGGTACGCGCTTTTACGTAGCCAGTATCAGTCCTGACGTCAGTTTTCATTGTTTTGACTTCAAACTTGTTATACTAGTCCTATATATTATTTTAGGAATATTTCCATACTTATTATAATTTTTCAGAATACTTTATTGGTACACTTTTATACCGTGGAGTAGAACCGATATCTACACTTTCGTAAGAAAAACGATTTTTAGTGTTCTTAAGACCTTATATTAAATATTCTTACCTTACCATAATTATTTAAGGTTGATATAGAATTATTCACTTAAGCTCGTAATTAATTAATTAAATTTTTAATTTAACGGTACGAATCTTACATTTCCCAACTACTACAAAGTGTCGGGGGGATAAACTGCTTACGTATAGGAGTCTAGAGCATTTTCACAATTCCTCGGGTATACACATATCCTTTAGGAGCTGTTTGGTTGAGGGTTTTCTATAACTTGCCTATGCAAATAAAAGTGGCAAATTAAGACACCCACATTTGGTAGGCAGTTTTTCTTAAGGGGGCGTTTGGTTCACGGATTCTGTTGAGTTTGATATCTAAATGTGAAGTGGGAAAGGGAGAAAGCATCGTTTGGACAGAAGGTGTTCCTGACTTAGGTAGGTAAATGTGATTGCACTCATTCGTATTTCCCTATGCAATTGTACTGATATTCCCGGCTAAATTTGCCCTTTTGCATGGTGGTATTGTTGAAAATCTCCATATTTGGTCACTGTGCATATTGTTCAAAGACAAAAGTACCCATCTCTTTCATCGTTGATTCTCTTCGTTCCCCTGCTCTCCTGGGGCTGGAACACTGAGGGGCTCAAAATCTGAAGCCCCATCTCAGGCTATGAACCCTCTACCCCACAACCATCACCCATAACCGCTAGAGTCTTAGACAAAGGAGCAGCTTTGGAACTCAAGAGAAGAGAAGAAGGAACGTAAGCTGAAGGGAAAAAACTCATATCTCCATTGAAACCTTCACCCCCATTGTTGAAATGATGTGAACTCACGGAGACTGATTGCCAAGTACAAACATAGGCAAAAACAAAACTAAAGACAAACAGATAAAGGGGGCAAGGCTGTTTGGTCATTTTTTTAAAAACAAGGATATTTTTGTAATATCACAATTTTTTCCCATCTATATTTTACCAAAAGCCAAACATAGATTTTACAAAAGTTATCTAATTTCCCCAGTAAAATTTTTCCCTACCAAACAACTTTTTTTACATTTTCCTACCAATCTCACTTCCCAACCATTTCCCTACTAATCTCATTTCTCTATCATTCATAAAAAAATTTCCTCAACCAAACGCCCCCTAAGTTCCCCATCTATTATATTTCTTATCATTCTTCATCTGGTGGTAGAAAGCAAGTTATTGGCACTATTAAGAAAGACAAATTGGAGGTGGTTTTTCTCCTTAGATGGGAAAATGGCAAAAATGAAATCAAGATAAGACTCTAATACCCTCATGTAAAGCATGAAGAAAGAGGCGAAGAAAATGCACTGTCTCGCAACTTTCCAATTGGTTTGGCCTGGACAACTATCAACGAAGAGCCTTGTCTACTGAAGGCTGATCGTAGCAACTCCTTCACTGCAAATTAGTGTTATTGAAAGCTTTGATCAGCATTTGTCTGCCTATTGATTTATGACATCAAATAAATGCCCCCTTAAATTCTGTTGTGGAATTGAACTTGAATGAGCTCCGATTTGAGGAACAAGAAGCAATTGCACTTCGATCACAAGGCAAATGAAATCCACAATAATCACTATTGAGTCCCATACTCTGGCATATCTTGGGGTTGACGAGTTTTAACTTGGCACACCTTCTTCATGTGCTTATCATCCCCCAATGCAGCTTCTTGATGCCCAGTATATACTCCATTCGTATCTTGTGCTCTAGTAATCCACTTCGGTGGTGGTATAGGAGGACCCATGTTCTGCACAAATTGGTGTTGCAGATTCTTTGTTGGCCCTAAACTTGGCGGCCTCATTAAAATCATTGTAGGTTTTGGGGAAGGCACTGCAGATGACCTAGGTCTCACACCTTCCTCCATTGACAAAGCATTAAACCCAGTTTTCTTTTTCGCATTTCTCTCTAATTTACAATTTTTTTTATTTTCCCAAAATTTTTTAAAACAAGGATATTTTCGTAATTGTCACTTATTTCCCCATCTATATTTTACCTCAAACCAAACATAGACTTTATAAATCTTACCTAATTTGTCCATCTATATTTATTACAACCAAACAATTTTTTTTTACATTTTTCTATCAAACTCACTTTCCAACTATTTCCCTATCAATTACATTTTCCTAGTATTCAAAAAATTTCTCCTCAACCAAACTTATTATTTCCATTGAACAATTGGCAGAAGGTTCTGATTTATCTATTATTAGACATTTATATCACCCCTTCCTATATAGAAGTACTAGCTTTCACTAGCTTGACATTTTCTGTTCAACACATTTCAATATTTTACAAAAAGGAGAGAGTAAAATCTCTATTCTTATTGGCATGTAATTACAATAAGTCGTAAAAAGCAAATTAAAAAAAAAATGACATATTTAAACTAAATTATAAAAAAATTGAGTAAATGAAAAGGAAAGAGTCTCAATTCGATTTTCATATACCACATTTGGAAGAGATTTAAATATCTTTATTCCTGACACGTCTCTCACTCCAGATTAGTTCAAAAACCGATTCAAATGGTCGAAATTCATAAGGAATATCAGAAAAAACCAATTCACCTCACAAAAGTAATTAAAGTTGGATTAACTAAAAAAAAAAACTATGACATATTTAGACTAAATTATAAGGAAGGACAATTATGTCTTTTTTTTTTTTTTTGTAATAATTATGTCTTATTTTTAATTAGTCTCTGAACTTTAATGTGTTATAACTCTAACTTATAATGTTATAATAATAACAATAGATGCCAAAATCTAAATTAAAGATAAATTACACACGTAAAAACTATTTTCTTTCCTTTTTTTGTTTTCATAAAATGAACAAAGTTAAAGAAGAATGTCAACAGAAATATATATATATATATATATATATATATATATATATATATATATATATATATATATATAAGGATATGTTTTTCTCATGTTACATGAGACAATTTGTCTTATTGTCTCATGCAACATATAAAAAGTGAGTAGGATTCATTTTTTTCTTTTCTCTCTCTTCATCTTAGTGGGTCCCACTCATTTTTTTATGTGTTGCATGATACTGATTGTGTCATGCAACATTGAGAAAAATATTTTCCAAAAAAAAATAAAATTAGAAGAAGAAGAAAAGACGTAGTGGAATTTTTCTCGCTTGATACTGTACTAGTAGTGACAATGAATGAGGTAACGCACTGGATAAGAAAAGGAATGCGACCCCATATGGCCATATATATCAAATAAACTGTCTTTTAACTTAAACTGGAAACAAAACAACAACCAAACCCAGGTTGAGTCCACCTTCTGCTGAACGTGTTTGTCTATAACTGACGACGCCGTTTCTCTTTCTGTTTCAGTTCGATCCATCTTCTTCATTCTCTTTCCAACTCTATATTCTCTCTCTCTCTCTCTCTCTTTTCGATTCCATGCCTTTTTCTTTTTCGTTTTCTTTTTCCTCGCTTTGGCTTTCTTCCCTAATCTAATTCTCAAGAACCCTTGTTTCTATTTCAGTCATAGGTTCTGCAATTAGTCACGGGTGTTTGTTCTTTTCAATTGCTTTTCAGAGCTGTTATAGTTAGTTCCCTACATTCCCCCCTTTTTTGTTTTTAACTACAATATAGGGTTTAACTCCTGAGAATCTTTTTAGATTCCCTGAATCTTGATTCCAGAATTTCCGAATTTTGGAATTTGGATTCCCTTGATTACGTGCTGTCTCTTTTGGGACTTTGGGGTTGTCCGTAGCTTAAGGTTTCGGAAAGTGGTGTTCTTTTTTTCTGGGCGGGAAACTGTGTCTTTGAGTCAGAACTATGATGGAGAATCCTTATGAGGTGCTTGGCTCAAAAGGGTTAATTAAAAAACACGAATTTGTGAGGGTTATAGTTCAGTGTTTATATTCATTAGGGTATAGTAAGTCTGCATCTTGTTTGGAACTGGAATCTGGTGTTTCGTACAAGTCCACTGAGTTTCAGTTGCTTGAATCACATGTATTGGATGGGAATTGGGATGGTTGCCTTAGTTTTCTCAATTCTTTGAGGGATGTATTGGGCGAAGGTAGAGAATCTGCTTTGTTTCTTGTCTTGAGACACTGTCTTCTTGAGTATCTGAAGCATGGTGAGGATGCTTTGGCTTTGGATTTGCTTAGGAAACAGGTTTCTGCATTGCATCTTGATCGTTACAAGGTTCGCAGCCTGGCTAATAGTATGCTTTCCTTGAAGGATGTGGGCTTTGGTGTGATAGATGGTGATGTTGTTCATGATTGGCGGAGGAAGTTATTAACAGATTTGGAAAAATTGCTTCCTCCACCAATTTCAGTACCTGATAGAAGGTTGGAGCATTTAGTTGAAACTACCGTTACAGCTTGGATTGATTCATGCTTGTATCACAATTCATCAAATCCAATTTCACTTTATGACGATCATTATTGTGGTAGGGATCAAATTCCTACTGTAACCACTCAGGTTGGTTGGCTAAGTTGTCTATTACTGCATGTAAGATGAGTTGGTTATATTTCTAAGATGATTTACATGAGAAGTGTGCAATGCTATTTGACGTTGTAGAAGAATTCAATTTATTTGATTTTCTTGGCATTGCCCAAATTTAAATTAATTGACTGATATATCTTTTCATATTTCATTTCAAACATGTCATTGTGTATTTATTTTATTTCATTTTTCATTTTTTCATTTTTTTGGGGAAGGGGGTGGGGATAAAAGAAAACTTTGAAGAGGAAAAAAAAACACTATATTCAATTTCAAGTTTATATCAATGTAATGTCACACCCATTAATGACTTTTATAATCTGTAGCAATTCCTCCCCTTTAAGACAAATTAAGAAGAAATCACAGGCTTTTTCAAATGCATTCCCAGTATATGCTGCTTACTGATCCAAAATAAGAGTTTGCATTGGCTGTTAAATATGATTTTGAAACGGGGATTTGTGTTTCTTCTCAATCAATTTATTATATATGATGTTGCTTTTTAGTGTGGGAAATGTAATCTTCTCTTTTAGCTGTATTGTTAAAAATGATTATATTTTGTTTTGCATGCTTTGTCAGTTGTTGCTTTAAAGAATCTTTTTCCTTTTTGGTTAGGGCTTAGATTCTATTTATATCTCTTTAATTGTAAAGGATGGACTTCCCATTATATACCATGAAAGGGGGAAATGGCACTGTTTCCTTTTTCTTATAGTGTTCAATTGTTTACAAACCAGATAAAGAATAACTGGTTAACTTCTATGAAGTAGAGAAAATGTGTAGCTAGTTAAGCATTTATGCTGTACCATATGAGTGATGTAATTTTTTTTTTACATAAAATGAACTATGCATTTATTATTGGTGGTGTCTACCATCCATATATTTCTTGCACTTAAGTTTGTTGCCCTTTTCCTGTTGAGCATGTCAAGTGATTATTTTCCTGTCTGTCTGATTCGTAATCGAAATTCATTTGTTGGACCATATGTCAAGAGATTGATAATGGTGTGTTACTTTGGTGTGGCAATGGAGGATGAATCAGATTTGGAATCACAGACATAAATGTCCAAATGAATCTACTAGTTTTGCACATATGATATAATTACATGCTTTACATACTACATAACACCTTTTTCTTTTGCCATCGCTGTAGATATTGACTGGACATAGAAATGAAGTTTGGTTTGTACAATTTTCTAACAACGGAGAGCATCTAGCATCTTCATCCAATGATTGTACTGCCATCATTTGGAAGGTATAATGTTATTGGCATTCTAAGAAGCATCTAGTTTTGCATTAGATGATTATGTCAATGTTAATGTCTTACTCTTTATAGCATTGATTAAATTTCTGTGTTTGAGCTCAAATATGTATAACAACAGAGTGTTTGGCAGACTCATATATTAAGTTAGTCACTATAATTTATAGCACAATGCATGATTTTTCAACTGCTAGATTCTTTGATTATTTATAACATTAGCATGGAAATATTTGGACTTAATGAGACATACATGGTATATGAACACAGACACGTATTGGAGAGACTGGATAGTGTATCTAGGTTAGGGTAAAAGCTTGTTTTTGTGTATCTTATCTTTGCTGGTGTATTAATTCCTTTATGTCAATCTCTACGTGACGACAAGTGACGAGAAACTGTTTCAGACATCTATAATGTCAAGATTCGAAGAAAACACTGCTGAGAAAATAAATAGTCAGGAAAATTTCAAATGGTTCAGGAAAAGCATTCTTTTTATAGCCTGATATCTTTTATACCTCTTCCCATATATCATTTACATTGTGTGGTAATAATTTTATATTTTTGAAAACTTGTTAAGAGACCGAAGATATTTATTATGTATCTTAAGAGCTTCATAGATTTATGGACTTAAGACAAAAAGGAAGGGTTTCAATATAAATTATTTCCTTAAAGAAAGATGGTTGAAGTTCATTATCTTGTCTGGACGTTTTTTGAAGCAAAAAAGAATGGATGTCTTTTTTTTGGTTAGGTGTTAATATGTAGGGAAAAAATAATGGGTGTTAGGGTCTGCTTACAAGGTAATATAGAAGGGATAAAAAATAGGTGTATGTTTTTTGGCGAACATAATGGATGTTAGGTTACTCAAATGTTAGATGCTATTGCTGACATCAAAGACGGTGTTACATCCTTGTCAGACTCCAACTTACATATTCTGTTATCCTAGTTCCTGGAGGTCCGTTACAAGAATCCTTGCTGGAGTCCTCATTACAGCATAACTAGTGAATAAATAAATAATGATGGAATAAATCAGTTTTATAAAATTGCAAGCTCTAAAATAATAGGAATATACTATGCTCAGTATATATTGATTGTTGGATTAGTGGGTTAACTCAAAAATTGGAATTGATTTTTAAAGTTTGTCTCCTTTCTTCTATTGATCTAGATTAGGCAATGAAATTGAGTTACTAATAGATTATACCAAGTTTATTCCTTGGAATGTGGCTTGTATTAAAGGAATTCAAGATAACTGGGCATATATTGTGAGATTAAATGCTTACCACATCAACATCACTTTTATCCCAAATTAATTGGGGTTGGCGGTAGAATAACCCAAATAAAAGCAAGAAAAGATTGAGGGGAAAAATGAATAAGAGAGAAAAAAATAAAAATAGCTTGCATTGATATTTGTGAGATTAAATGCTCATTAAACAAAAAAATTATCTGCTTTCTAAGATATTAAATTTTAAATAGCTTGCATTGATATTTGTTTTGGTAACTTTTGGAGAATACTATAAGATGTTTGACACTTAAACTGTCAAGGAAGGTGAAATTCCTTATATATCTTTCAACCTTGACTTCTACAAGTCAAATTTAAAGCAAAACTATGTCAATTTAGTAGTTTATAAAACTTGGCAGATATGAAAAATATAGAAAACTTTAGTCATGAATTTTAGTTTTATACTCCAAGTTAAAATGTAGAAATGGAGAAGTATTGGAGCGATTTGATTCCTAATGATCTGAAGTACTTTTGTCAGGTGTTAGAAGATGGGAAATTGACATTGAAACACACACTTTGCGGTCATCAACAGGCTGTATCTTTAGTTGCATGGAGTCCTGATGACACCAAGTTGCTCACATGTGGGAACAAAGAAGTTTTGAAGCTGTGGGATGTTGAAACAGGTACATGCAAGCATACATTTGGGAATCAAGGCTTTATTGTCAGCTCTTGTGCCTGGTTTCCCAACTCAAAGCAGTTTGTGTGTGGCAGTTTCGAGGCTGAAAAAGGCATCTCCATGTGGGATTGTGATGGAAACGAGTTAAAAGCATGGAGAGGAGTGAGGATGCCCAAAGTTGTCGATATTGCTGTTACTCCAGACGGTGAGTATCTTATCAGCATATTCGAGGATAAGGAAATTCGGGTTTTGCATTTGGGAACCAATGCCGAACGAGTCATTGCAGAGGAGCATCCAATCACCTCCATTTCAGTTTCTGGAGATAGCCAGCTCTTCATTGTCAATCTTAACAGCCAGGAGATTCATATGTGGGATGTGGCCGGGAAATGGGATAAGCCAGTGAAATATATGGGTCACAAGCAATGCAGATATGTCATCAGGTCATGTTTTGGTGGATTGGATGGCACATTTATTGCCAGCGGTAGTGAGAATTCACAGGTAGTTTTCCTTTTCTGAGTGTACTAATTAGTAGCAGCTAGTTATAGTAATGAACTATCAAGGTACCCCACAACCTACACACTGAATACCTTCACTATTAATTGAAGCACCTCGAAATTTATCTCATACAGGTATACATTTGGAATCCTCGGAACTGCAGGCCAATAGAGATTTTATCTGGGCACTCTCTGACTGTGAATTGTGTGAGCTGGAATCCTAAAAGACCACATATGTTAGCATCTGCAAGTGATGATTATACAATTCGTATATGGGGACCCAGCTAGAAAAGAACGTAACTAGAATAGATCAGTTGAACACATGTGGCATATTAAGCTTTCAAGCCTAGTTTAGTGTATATAATCTTTCCACTATTCTTCCCCCCACCTTAAGTTTGTTCTGCATGAGTTTGTAAAGTCCTGGTTCATCCATGCAGAAATTTTGGCGTACATTTCCGTCTATAAATCTTCTTTCCTTCTTTTGTTTCTATACCCTTCGTTAGTTGTTTCCCTTTTGATTGGTGTAAAAACTAGAAACTGATGGGTCAGAGTTAGGGTATATTCTCACTCACATTTCATAGTTATATTCTATGATTTTCTTGATTCTTATGAGGTTTTTTCATATTGGTGAAAGATTAATTCTCGTTCGAGGTTTTTCCAAAAGTGCTTTCCCATAATCTGGATAGAAGAGCCTCGAAAACCTCCAAGCACAAATTTACTCATGCTTGACTCATTCTTGTTGGTGTTTATATTCTATGATTTGCAATATCAGCATTATATTTCCTTTGACCACAAAACAACACCCCCACACACAACACTTATAATGCTTTGACTAGTGATCTCGCAATCTTTAATCAATTCTTGCAATATAGCAGATATACTACAAAAACAATAGAAGTTGCTTGAAAATGTTGTTTTCATCATATTTATGAAGGGCTTAACATCTTGCAGGAGAGATTGAAATTTTCCAGCAGAAACAAAATTTGGTGGAGTCCACAAACTTTTGAAAATAAAAAAAATAAAAGATAAAAGCATGGAATTCGAGCTGACACAACCGGACTTCTCCAGCAACGGGAGAAGTGCATTTCCCATTTATGAAACTCCCTAGGGTTCATTTATTTGTTTATTTATATATATATATATATATATTTTATTTTTTTTAGGTATGAAATTTACTGATATTGTCTTTATTTATAAGTGTTTTAAATCTTTTAGCATTATAAAAACGCTTTAGTTGTTAGTCTAAACAAAAATAGAAAAACCGAGAAGATTTATTTGAATGTTTTCGGTTATTTTTTAGAATGCTTTCATACCCACGTAAAATTTTGTAAATATTTCGCAAAGTGCTTTTCATCAATACCATTTTGTAATTAAACACAAATGTAACCTAATTTGCCAGTTCATGTGCGTTGACACTTCTCCAGAAAATTCAGTGTTTTTATAATATGAAAATAGTTCTTAAGAAGGGCAATATTCCTTAATATGGTCTCTGTTTTTTCATTCCCAAAAATTTATTTTGTAGTAAAATTTTATCCAAATAATTTTTATTTTATTTTATTGTATTCTAAAATCTGTTTCACATTATTACACGTTAAAACCCATTTTCGAAAAAAATAATAATTTAAACCCACCCCAAAATGTCTACTAAATTAGCAAAAATGATTAGTAAAAATCTGATAAAATCAACGAAGTTAAGCTTTCTAACTATATTTGTATAAAATAATAATATTTACTCAATTCTTACCTAATCACATGTAAATAATTGGATAACATTATAATTTCAACTTTTTGATACATTCAAATTGTACCATATTCACATAATGTATACAATATCTTTTCTCACACTTAGAAATGAGACATTTATACTCTTCCAGTAAAATAAAAGATATTCATATTTTCACTCAAGCAATTGTTGGAATTGAGGCACACACTTTTCACTTATTTTTATCAGGTTAATTTCACAAATAATACTTAATAAAAATAACAAAATTACAGTCCTTTTTAACACCGATTAAAAAAAAGATATCTGATAATTAAATGGAAATTAGTTTTCTTAACCATTCAATTTGCCTACAGAAGCAAGTGTTAGGCATTTAACGAAACACACCTGTTTATGTTTTTTTCTTTACAATCCTCAACCTGGGAACATGGAAGCAAACATTGGACAAGGAAATTACTATGTTAAATTCCGACACTGTCTCTGTCTCTGATATTACAACCATAACTCAACAAGCTAAACCTAAGTCCTAACCTTGTTTCTTTATTTTTTTTGGTTCCTCTACACTTCCCTCTCTTGCCACTCATAATCTAATCTAACCATATCTCTTGGGCCTAAACATACGAGTCTTGCCACATCATCTTCTTTATAAATTATTTTTTATTTCCACCCCTAAAACTACATCATATTCTCTTTTCACCCCCCAATTATGGATTCTTCTACCTGTCTGTCTTCTCTGTGTGTCCGTCCACAACAATAGAGAGAGAGAGAGAGAGAGAGAGATAGAGAGAGAGAAAGGGTCTCTGTTGTTCGAATGAACTTGCCATCTGTAGCAATTCAAACAATGAAAACTACGCTTTCGGAAATCAGGAACTAACATATCAGATTTGATCCTTTTTCTTTAATCTCAAATTTCCATGGAAATGACCTCATCCTCCTATAATTCTAAAACCAGGTCAGAAATTCCTGTTTCCAATTACCCCTTCTATTTTGCATAGATTTCATTTTAATTGCTGGGTTTTTCTTTTTCTTTCTTTTTTCGGTTGATTTCCCATTTGCTTCGTTTTGGAGACACACAGGAAATTTTGAGTTCTGGGTTGTAAGATTTTAATGCAAATTTGCAAACTTTGGCGCATTTTTATGATTGTGTTGGCCTCTGTGTCTTTGTTCTTTGCCTACCTACACTTTCTGATTCTTCTATCTCTTCCTCATCGTTGTTGTTAGAGTTAGCTGAGATTTTTAAGTGGCAGCGTAATTGCACCGAAAGTATGTTCTTATTATTACCGTTGCTTGATTTCGTATGAATATGATGCTTAGTTTTCTAGTTGGATGGGATCCGTCTGGTTTGTTGCTTAAGTAATTTTTGATTTTCAATGGTAATAAACTTCAATTCGCAGTTACTGACTCAAAAACAAGCAACAATTGTGGGCTGAGGTCTGTTCCAGTCATTTAAATGTACTAGGACCTGATGTCAAAGTAATTTGATTTATAATATGCACAATGTTACCTAATCTATCGGGAGTATCTAAGAATGTTTTTTGCTTGGGAAGAAAAACACATGGATTCTTTTACTATAAATTCTTGATAGTGTAGCATTAAGGATATGTATGATTGTATCACTGCATGTGTGAATGCTTGTAAGGGAACATCGAGTTATTTTCCTTCAACATTAGGTTTACATCAATGTTGTGTACTTAAGTCCTTATCTTTTTGCCCTAGTTATGGATGAACTAACCAAAGATATCCACGATGAGGTGCCATGATATATGTTATTTGAAAATGATATTGTGCTTATTGATAAAACCAAGACCGGTGTTAATGAAAAAATTAGAATTGTGGAGAAGCTTGTTGGAGTCTAAAGGTTTTACGTTAAGTCGGAGTAAGACTCGGTATATGAAGTGTGAGTTTGCTACGACAAGAGATGGAGATCAAGATTCTTTTTATATGCTAGGACATGAGGTACTGAAGAAAGATCCTTATCTTTTTGCCCTAGTTATGGATTAACTAACCAAAGATATCCACGATGAGGTGCCATGATATATGTTATTTGAAAATGATATTGTGCTTATTGATAAAACCAAGACCGGTGTTAATGAAAAAATTAGAATTGTGGAGAAGCTTGTTGGAGTCTAAAGGTTTTACGTTAAGTCGGAGTAAGACTCGGTATATGAAGTGTGAGTTTGCTACGACAAGAGATGGAGATCAATATTCTGTTTATATGCTAGGACATGAGGTACTGAAGAAAGATCCTTATCTTTTTGCCCTAGTTATGGATGAACTAACCAAAGATATCCACGATGAGGTGCCATGATATATGTTATTTGAAAATGATATTGTGCTTATTGATAAAACCAAGACCGTTGTTAATGAAAAAATTAGAATTGTGGAGAAGCTTGTTGGAGTCTAAAGGTTTTACGTTAAGTCGGAGTAAGACTCGGTATATGAAGTGTGAGTTTGCTACGACAAGAGATGGAGATCAAGATTCTGTTTATATGCTAGGACATGAGGTACTGAAGAAAGATGTTTTTAAATATCAGGGATTAATATTGCAAAAGGGGGAGAGATTGTTGAGCATGTCAACCATATAATCATAGCAAGTTGGATGAAATCATAGTTATCAAATGCGGATTGCAGCCAGATGCGGCCAACCCTCAAAACCGCTATAGCGTTATTGCGGTTGCGGAAATACTCGGAAAAAATATATTTATTAAAAAAAAATACAAATAATAAAAAAAATATAAAGATAAATAATAATTATTTAAAAAAAATAAAGGCAGAGTTGACATGTTACCTCTTAGTAATAAGTGTCCAAACTTTAGCTATAGTTTGTACTACCTTTAGTTGTAATTATACTTTACTGATTTACCATATTTATCTTAGTTACGTTAGTGTTTTACCTTAGTTACCTTTTAATGATGCATTCTTTTTTTTTTGGGATATAGAAATAGTTTTGCCCACTGTTACTATAACCAGGTTACTTGGTTACCGTGACTTGTGAATCACTTTTCTAACAAATATACTTTTCTTTTCTTTGAATAAAGATAGATCAGAATCTCTTTCTCTCTCACTTTTTCTCTTTCATCTGTTCTCTCTCTCTCTTACTATTTCTCTCACTTTTTCTCCTTTTCTCCGTCATCTGCTCTCTCTCTCTCTCTCACTCTTTCTCTCACTCAAAGCTTTGCTTCTTCGTTCATGGCTTCCACATTGAACTTCAATACGATAAGAGAGAAGTAGAGAAGGGAAGAAACGAGCACGATAAAGAAAGTAAGAGAGATGCACAACAGAGAGGAAGAAAGAGAGAGTGGGTTAGGGTTAAAACCATAAAAAGACACTGTTGCGGCGAGATTTGGCCGCAACAGCCGCTATTGCGATCTGGTGCGACGCGGCTCGAATGGTTGCGCGAAGCTCCGCAAAGCGCAATTGGCGCGGCTTGCGGCGCAATAGCGCCGCTATTGACTACTATGGATGAAATGGAAAATGCATTACAATTTTTGTGGGATCACAAAAATCCTCTAAGACTAAAAGAAAAATTCTATAGAATAGAAGTAAGACTTACAATGCTATACAGGGATAAATGTTGGCCAACACAGAGGTAATATGAGTATAAAATGGGAATAGCCTAAATGAGAATGTTAAGGTGAAAGTGTGGTTATATAAGGATAGATAAGATAAGATAAGTAATAAAGATATTTGACGAAAGGTAGGAGTAGTACTAGTGGCTAAAAAGATAAGAGAATACAGATTGAGATGTTTTGAGCATATTATTCAAAGACCCCTAAATGCCTTTAAGAACAGAAGTTTGTTACCAAGAGTACGACACAAATTGATGAAAAGGTTGGCCAAAACTTACTTGGGAAAAGGTAGTAATACATGACTTAATGGAGTGAGAAATAGATTAGCAAATGGTGTGTCTTAGAACGGAGTGGAGGAAATCTATTACCATTGCGGAGGGGTAGACCCGTTTTTACCTATTTCCATATGATCATTCTTAGTCCTTTTCCCTATATTTATTTATTTTCCTCTCTAATTTACTTTTTCTTTCTTAATTGTCTTTATCTTTTTTTAGTCGTTATCTTAGTTATTTTTCTGTCTTTTTTTATTTTTATTTTTGTATTTTAGTTATTTTATTATTTTTTCTCTATAATAATTGTTATTGCTTCTTTTTGTTCTTTTTTTGCTTTTTATTGGGTTTACCAACTGCTGACCCCAACTAGCTTGGGATAAAGATGTTTGTTAATGTTAATGAAATACTTGATCGTGTAGCAGCCACAAGAAATTTTCATGCATGCTTTGGATGATCATGGAGTTTCTAAATTTATTGCCAAATTTTCATAATTTATGTTCCTTCCACTTAGTTTGTTGAATATCTCACATCCTATGCTTAGCATCAGTTTGATGAACTTAAAGCCCCGGTTTATAGGGAATTCAAAGTTTAATATTTTTGCTACTAAATTTCTTTGATCTCTCATATGATTTTTTCAATTTGGTCAGTGGTAGAAATGTCTTTAACTTGTTAGCACAGAGAGAGATTTCACCTCGAACAAAACATGTGCCAAAATGGCACTGGGGAGAATCTTCTAAATCAAAATCTGGTTCTTGCTCCCATCCTAAAAGCGAAGCACTGAGAGATGCAAAACGTGGTCTCCTCTCATGGTACTTACAGAACTTTAGTCTATGGTTTATATCCACGAAAAAGCAGGCCTTTTGAGAATGGGGTTTTATTTCCTTCCTTTAAGGAAAGTCAATTTTTTTGGAGGACTAACATCTCTAAGAGTGGTTGTCAGGGTTGAGGCTGAGTCATTGGGACATTTGTCAGCTATGTATTGCCCTTTATTGCCTCCCCCACGGTCTACTATTGCTGCAGCATTTAGTCCGGACGGAAAATTTCTTGCCTCCACACAGTAAGTTGTAACCGGTTTTTCTCCTCTTTTGCAATTTGAATTGAAAACTCTTTGGTGATTGATGGTTTGGCATGTGCAGTGGTGACCACACGGTAAAGATAATTGATTGTGAAACTGGAAATTGCTTAAAGGTGTTAGTTGGCCATAGAAGGACACCTTGGGTGGTAAGCTTAAAGTCTGCCTGTTTGCCTTAATTTCTTGTGTCTATTTTTTTTCTTTCTTGTTCCTTTTCTTTTATCACTGATTTTAGTTTATAGAAGGAATATTTTTCCATTAAGTTTGATGAAATTTGTTCGGAAGATGAGACAATTCTGTGGAACGGAGTTCACAAAATTCTCATTGTTAACAAAGCCCTATCCAGCTAGCGAATTAACTTGTCATATAAAAAAAAAATTTGTTGCCATTGTATGAAATTTTCTACTTTGTTATTTCTTATGGCTTGTACAGTGAAGTTTCATTTTAGCAATCTCCAAATTAAGCATGTGAAAGATTCATGAAGTCGAGTAAATTTTCTTTCAACAAAGACTTTCTTTTGCTCTTTTTGGATCATTGCATGGGTGCATAAAACAAATTATATAATCTTATTGAGTCCCTGGAATTTCTTTGACATCAAGAAGTGGTTTTGGGCCCGTCATTACAGAATATTAGAATTATGTTAGAGTATGTGCCCTGATGGTATAGCGTCTAGTTCTATCATAGCTGAATACTCCCAATCTTAATGGGTTAAGGGTATTGGTAGGAATGCTCGCTGGTTTTGAATACTGTACTTTATTCATAAGTTAGTTAGAATCCTTGTATTATTATGTTAATTTTGATGCAATAAATATTGGATCATTCATCATCTTTTTCTTATGCGGAGAATGCTTTTACTTGTTTTTCTGGTAGATGGAGAATGTCTTATGTTGTTGATTCTTGTATTTATTGATCAGGATTTTTGTTATTTGGATAAAGCTTTTGTGTAACAATGAGCAGTTAAAGAAATGTAAATTCCAATAAATTAGGTTTTGTAATTTAAAATTTCATTGTAAATGTATACATGAAAGTTGGTTTTGTTAAGCGTCACTTCAACCCAAAACCTTAAGGCATTAGGTGATGGCCTTTTTAATGCTTTTTATTTTATTCTCTAACACACTCCTTCACGAAAAGACCCCTTTGGGCTTGAAGCATGGATATGACACAAGCCTATTTTTGGTCTGCCTTGTACTACACAAGTCCATTTTTTTTTTTTGTCTGCCTTGTGTGTTTTTTTTTAATTCCACCTGAAAGTGGGGGCGGTAAGGATCAAACTTGTGATCTCGTGGTCACTGAAGCTTTGATACCATGTTTAACTAGCAAGATGCTTATGATTTATGTATGATGTTGATTGTTTGGTCCAGCAAATATGTTCTATTAAAATTATGGGGAATTGGGTAGCAAAGGAGGAACAGAGAGATAAAAGAGACTATGAGTAATATTCTCTTATGTATATTTGTGTGTTACAAAGACAAAATACTAACTCCTATTTTTTTTTTTTTTTTGGTGTGGTCTAACTCCTATTTATACTAGTGCTAGACTCCTAATCCTAATTAAATAAGGAAGCAAATCATGAAATATAATGGAATATGGAAACCACTCCTAAGAGATTATCTAAGGTACTCTAAAATATTCAAAGATATAATAATGATATTATGATATATTTTCTAGATATTCTAACTAGTCAAAGTTACTAAGCTTTAAATTTAGGGAAAACTTTATTTTCACTCATTGTGATTTTATGATTTATCATTTGATCCCATGTGGTTTTAAACCTGTCATTTAGGTCTATTGTACTTAAATAATTTATCATTTAACCCTACGTGGTTTCAAATTTCCACTTACACTCATTGTGGTTATAAAATTATATCACTTAGACCCCTTGTGGTCTTATATATACATAATTTTTTTTTATTTTTCTCAACTCATCTTATATTATTATCATATTATAATTTAAAATTATGTACCAAAAAATATAAATTATTTATTTAAATTTAAATTAATAATAGTATCAATTATATCCTTATAATTTTACACATATAAATTTTTTTATTTTCCCTCTTTTTTATTTTATATCCTCATCTAATGCATTTAAGCCAAATAAATAAAAATAAATTTTTAAAAATTTCACATATTTTTATCATGAAAATAAATTCAAATCAAATATTATTTTATTTTATCTATTTTTTACCCGACATCGTTATAAAATTATTTAAAGAAAGTAAATATCTTATTTTGATAATACATATTTAATTTATCTTAAATAATATTTTTAAATTTTTAAATATATTTTTAAAATAAATAAATAAATAAAGATAATTTATAAATTAATTTCAAAATAAATAACTTGAAATAGTTTTTAATTTCATATTTAATTATTAATTTTATTTGATAATATCATAATTAAATAAAATTTAGAAAAAGTAAATATTTTTATATTTATCAGACCACAAGGGGTCTAATTGATATATTTTTGTAACTACAATGAGTGTAAGTGAAAATTTAAAATCACAAGGGGTCAAATGATAAATTATTTACGCACAATGAGTCTAAGTGACAAGTTTATAACCACAGGGGGGTCAAATGATAAATCATAAAACTAGAGTGGGTGAAAACAAAAATTTCCCTTAAATTTATTACAATTAAGCACACAAAAAGAAAGTAACCTAAAATATAATGCACTGAAGGGGCTAGACTGCATTTGGTACTGTACTCATAGAGATAATGACATCATTAAAATAGAGTTCTAGATTTTAGGGGACTCGATACTGGAATATTGACAAGACAGGTCACAAGGATGGTTTCGATCTAATAATATATTAAAATTATGAGGATTTAGATAGAGAAGAAGAAAAGAAAAGATAAAAGAGACTATGAATAAATTGTTCTTATGTATATTGGGGTGTTATAAAAGACAAAGCTAACCCCGCTTTATACTAATAATTGACTTTTGATCCTAATTAAATAAGGAAACAAATCATGAAATATATTGAAATATGGAAACCACTCCTTGGGGATCATCTAAGATACTCTAAAATATTATGATGTTATAGTATATTCTCTAGATATTCTAACATAAGCTATCCTCTCTCTTCTACTGCAAGCATTTTTACCTCATAGAAAGTGTTGGTTCATATTTTCCAATTTTAATTATCTATTAATTGGCTATAGGTTAGGTTCCATCCCTTGCATCGACAAATACTTGCTAGTGGGAGCTTGGACCAAGAAGTTCGTTTATGGGATACAAACACATCAGCGTGGATATTATCTCACTATTTCTGTAATTTTTCTGTCCATCTCTCATTTTAATTTCTAAATTAATGTTGAAGCTATTACTGAATTTTTTTATTGTTCTTTTTTGTTGAGTTCTGTCTGATCAATTTGTTGGATGTATTCTCATAGATCGACCCATTGCATCCATTGCTTTCCATGCGAATGGGGAAATAATTGCGGTTGCATCAGGCCACAAGGTAAAATAATGATTTTTGCTGAGAACCTACCATGTTTAAATCTTTGATGACTTTCTATGTTTAGTGACATTTTTTTCTGAATCTTGTTACCTTGTGTTTTGGAATATTGTGTCAGCTGTACATGTGGCACTACAATAATGAAGGAGAAGCATCCTCACCAGTATTTGTGTTGAAGACAAAGCGCTCACTCCGTGCTGTGCATTTTCACCCTCATGCCGCACCATATCTTTTAACCGCTCAGGTGGATGATCTTACGTGTCTTTGATTATCTTACCATGCCATACAAAATATTACTTTTTGGATTTTCTTTTTGGTTACCACATTTGGATTGATGTACAGGTCAATGATCTTGACTCTTCTGATTCCTCGATGACAGAGGCAACATCTATTGGTTATTTACAATATCCTCCACCTGCTGTTTTTGTCACAAATATTCATCCTGGGACACATATTAATTTGTCAAGTGAACTACCCTATATGTCGTTACCTCTCTTCTTAATGCCTTCATATACTGTAGATGAGTCAAGAGTAGAACTACAGAATGCTAGTGATGATGTTGGTTCAGCTACCATGCAAGTTGAGTCTTCTGCCATAGTTCAGTCTCAAACAGACATAAATACAACAGAACGATATGATACCGCATTGTCAATCTCTGAGATTCCCACTAGCTCTCATCCTGGTGCAGAATATAATGCCCATACTACTGTACCCAATCAAATGAGAATTGGCGTTAGTAACCTCACAATGGGTGGTATGGAGACTTGTGAAGCAGAAACAGAACCAGTTGAAGCAAGCCAACATGAAAACACTGCTAATCTCTATTCTCTTGATGGAGTGCTACGCGGACTTTCTGAGTTTGGTCAAGTTCATCAGTTTTTTCCTTCAAGAAACCCAAGTAGATGGGAGTTACCTTTTATGCAAGGATGGTTAATGGGTCAAAGTCAAGTTGGTGTTCCCTCAATGCTTCCTCACATTGGTGGTAGTCGTGAAAGTCTTCCTCAACAGATTGGTTCTTCCACCATGGCATCTGATATGTCCACTACTAATGTTGAGGTAGCAATGTCATCTTCAGGAATGCCTCATGGCACCAGCATATCAGGAGCTGCTGTAAGATCAGGTTTACAGAATCATTTTTTGCAATCCCGTTTACCTGTATCTGATTCTGGCAATCTTGCTTCTTCTATTAATGCTGCGCGTAATGAGTTGGATAGCCAAAACATTATAAACCGAATCCAGTCAGAACTTGCCGCATCAGTGGCTGCTGCATCTGCTGCGGAGTTGCCTTGCACTGTTAAGTTAAAAGTCTGGTCGCATGACTTAAAAAGTCCTTGTGCCCCACTAAATAGATGCCGTCTTACTATACCGCATGTTGTCCTCTGCAGGTACCTTCTGAATTATGAACTTATAATATCTGCTCCAGCATGTGGTTGATATAGCTTCATTGTTGTTTCAAAAAGATATGGTTGTTTTGCCTTGCTTTTGCATGCATTATGTGAATTTATTTATTTTCCCTTGTGAATGATTATGGACTGATTAATATGGCAAAATATTCTAAATTTTTGTGTATAAATGGTTGGAGTTAGTAGAATTGTATACTCCATTGTGTTTTGATTTTTGATTTGCAATTCTGCTTGCAGTGAGATGGGTGCCCATTTTTCACCATGTGGTAGATTTTTAGCTGCCTGTGTTGCATGTATTCTTCCTCATGTAGAAGCTGATCCAGGATTACAACCTCTAGTACACCAGGAGCCTGGAATTGCAACATCGCCAACTCGACATCCTATCTCAGCGCATCAAGTAATATACGAGCTTCGGATATATTCCCTTGAGGAGGCAACGTAGGGCTCACTTCTTCAACAATTGCTGCAAAGCATTTAATTATCCCTCTGACACATGCACTTTTTAGTTTAAGTGATTTCATTAACTTTTTTTTGTAATCTACATCTCTTGAACAGATTTGGATCGGTGCTTGTATCCCGGGCAATTAGAGCTGCTCATTGTCTGACTTCAATTCAGGTCATTTAATTACTTGATCATGTGGCTGATAAACTTTACATACTTAAAATATTTAAATTTTAAATATATTATTATTGACAGCTATTTAATTGATATTTTAAAGAAAGCAACTTCGTCTTCATCTAATGCCCTCTCATAATTACAATTCTATCTTTCCTTTGTACAAGCACTTGGCTGCACCTTTTTTCAATATTACTCATATTTCATTACACATAAAAATAAAGTAGTAAATCCGTTGATATCACAATTGTGAACACATTTATTCTAATAGCTAATTTGTTTACCAATTTCTGTTTTGAAGTCTTAGTAGTTATTCAAATATTAATAGCCACTTCTGTTGCTTTTCCTTACTTGATTAACTATAATTAAAGAAATCCTTTTCTTGGTGGATTGAATTTGTGCAAATATTGTTTGAAATGTAGTTCTCACCTACATCTGAGCATATACTACTGGCCTATGGTCGACGTCATGGCTCTCTACTTAAAAGTGTTGTCATTGATGGAGAAATAACGTTACCAATTTATACAGTGTTAGAGGTAAAATGCACTTTTCCTTTTCTTCAATGTTTATCTTTTCATCTGAATTGCTCCTTATTCTGAAATAATATCCATCCACCTATTGTAGTCTTCAGAATCATTAGTTACCAAGTAAGCATTGTTTCTCTAACATCGAATTTATATTCTGTTGTTTGGACCGGTGAGTGACAATCATCTGTGCTTGTGTATGGACTGACAGTGATTGTTGCCAGTCATCTCATTCATCCCCTTCTTGTTGTTAGAATTGTTTTAAGCTGAATTTCATGTCCCTGAAATTGCTTTTGTCTTTCAGGTATACAGGGTGTCAGATATGGAACTTGTCAGGGTGCTTCCTAGTGCAGAGGATGAGGTCAATGTGGCATGCTTTCATCCATTTGCAGGGGGAGGGCTTGCTTATGGAACCAAGGTATGGTTTTATATATAAATCGAAAAACTTCAACTTCCATTCTTTCATTGATAACCTTTTGCTTGTGGTTTTAGGAAGGAAAGCTTAGGGTCTTCCAATTTGACCGTGCTCACAGTGTGAATGGCACTGGATCAAATTACTTCCCTGAGGAGAACATTATTGGGGTCAGTCAGTGAGCAAGGTTATATGCATTACTTATTTTTGGGATTTCAAATGTTGATTAGATGACTATAAAAATAGTTTTCGGTTCATTGGTTTCAATTGAATTTTGTGGAGATAATTGGGTGATGAGTACTGAATATCAAGGACAGATCAGGATTAGCAATAGGTTAGATTGATGATGCATTCACCTAAACTTTTGGTGCCGATGTGACATTTTTAGCAAAATCAATGTTTTGGTTGATTAGGCCAAACAATCATTGCGGCTGCAGTTTTGTTTGAGCATTGCTTAGTGTTAGAAATATAATATAAAAATCATTCATGTATCTTCACCTAATAGCTTAAAGATTTGGAAGAGTTGGTTCATGACACGGTATTAGAGCCTCTATGAGCAAATGGTCTAGAATTCGATCGTCACTGTTCTCAATCTTCTAATAAATATTGAAATTTCAGCGCAAGATATGTGTGCCTATGCATTTTTCTATGCTTCAAGCCCAAAAGACTCTTGCGTGAGGGTACGTTTTAGAAATACAATGTAAAATCCATTTATGAGCTTTCACCTGATAACTTATGCTTTTAGGAGTGTTTGTTCATGACAATTAGAACACTTGAAGTCAAAAAAAATTTATTACTACATTTTCTCATGGGTAGAAGCCAAAATTTGTTCCATGTTTCCATTCTGCTCTCGGTTTTCTATTAAACAGTCAATGCAAGAAAGGAATAATTGCTACATCATAGCTATTTTCTGCTGTTATGATATATTAACTTCTACACTAAAGTGTTTCAGAACTATTTTTTTTTGTCATTGCAGCTTGGTTACATTAAGAGTATTCATATTGCATTTTTTTTGTGAAAATTGGTTTTGACTATAAATTTTGGATGACTTGTTGATGTATTGGAAGTAAAATGGAGGATAAGGTATCTGATGTGTGTTTTCTTCGAAGTCTTATAATGTATTTGGTTGGAGCAAATGCTGGAACAGTTTACAGGGAGGAGATTAATGAAAATTTGTTATCAGATCTTGACCTTTTTGTGGTATTAACTGTTGATTTAAGCAACATTCTGTCTTTCACAAATCTAAAAAGAAATTGGAAAGCCCAACTTTTCAAATAATCTTGTTTTTCTTGTCTTCTGTTGTCCTCTCTCTTCCTGTTTCTGTGGAAAGACATTGTATCCCAGTTATCTTTTTACTCATTTTTGACAGGCTCGTATTTGTTCTGTTTTATCAGAGGAAAACTCCTTTGTGCTAATATGCATTTGAAGCATAATAATTGACATGTAGTTTATAAATTTATCCTCACAAAGTTACTGTCTAATTGTAGGTTTGCACTCATGATTGGGGGTAGAATTCAAGTACGTGTTTCAGATTCATCTGTACAAATAAGATGGTTAGTAGAAGACTCTTAGCCTCCTTCGACTTTTTTGTTTGCATTTGAGCAGTGTGAGATGTAAACTCAATATACACTTGATCAACTTTTCTACTCAAGTAGTCTATAAGATCATTTTGTCAAAGGATGACTCTAGATAGGTGGCCCTCTCAGGTGGTTGAGCTTTCTCACCATGAGATGTATCATGAGAGTCAATATTCTCATCTTGATATTTTAACCAACAACTCAACCATTGAAGTTCATTGAATAATCAATGCAACCAATTAGAGCTCTAACCTCATGAGGATCTAAAAATGTATCTGATGTTTAAGATGTTTAAAAATGTATCTGATCCCCTGTACAGCTCTCTCTTCTGATAATCCACACAAACAACACCACATGCAATGCTGATCACATGAAACCAGTTGCTGGAACTTCAGACTCATTGTATCAGCAAATGCATATTGTGTATTTTTCATGTATGAACATGTAACAATATTGTCTGATTCAATTAAACTCAATTGTATTTTTCCTTTTCCCCTCCAACCCTCCACCCCTACCCATAAGGGTTTTTTTTCCTTTTCACATCTGTGTAATACTGTAACAAGTACAGTAGCTAAAAAGCAAAGGAAAGAAAGCAATAATTTTGCCCCCTCTCTGGAAATTATTGAGTTTTAGGACAATAAGGCTCCAAATTCTAATATACATCCTAGCTGAGTGGTGAATGAAATATGTTATCTATGATTTTCTTATAGTGAAAAGGGAGGTGTAAGCACTTAGTCGAGGGGAAAAAGGTGGTCTAATAGGAGTTTGAAGGTCTGACATTGACATTAACTTTAACATCACTCTCAAGTTTTAAAGACTTAGGTTGATGTCTTAGTTGGCAGATTTTTTAATGGATTTGGATACTCTCATGTGAAAAAGTAATCATGTGGTCATGTTATTTGATCACAACCACTCATTTTCATTCATTGATGATGAGATAAGAGAAAAAAAAGTGTATGATTTTTAAATAAATAGTTGTGATCAAATAATATGATTACATGACTATTTTTTTACATGAGAGGATCCAAATTCAATCTTTTTAGACTGCTAGTTGTGGGGGGTTTTTCTCCTAAAAATGAGAGAAGTTAGTGTTGGTAACTCGTGGTTGAAACAAATGGCAAAACCAGAAAGAAAATTAAGTAGAGCCATTGTACAAGTAAATGGTCATATCAGCTCCTTTACTCCTCTTACCAACTATATGTAAGTCGTGTACTTTTTGCATGTGGTATGTCGCATTTGAAATTAAGAAACCATTAAGAAAGAAAAAGGGGTTGTATTAGCAATTTTCTTTTTAGTATATCGATCCTAATTACTTTTACGAGGTGAGTCGGTCTCCAAAACTAATCTCGAATAGGGGTTAAATCATAGCTAAAATTTTTCGTTTCTCTCCAAAGATGTATTTATATTTAGTGGGAATCTAATTTAGGTTTTCTTCTAATCTACTCAGTTATTGCCAATTAAGATACAACTATTTTTATAGACTATTACTACGAAAGCTATATTATGCGTGAGTCTTGATTCCTTTGAGAACAAAAAAACAAAGAATAGACCAAAAAGGTGGTGGGGTTGGTCACGGACTCTTGGATGGAGAAATTTTGCATACACTTTGGTCCTTGATTATGTGGCTTTTTGAAAATGTTGTTAAAATATATATATATTTTTTGGGAAAAACATCTATCTTTTTAAAGGATAGAAGCTTATATCATTTTAGATTCTAACCGTTGATTTCCGTCCATCAACCGTTATAATCTATTGAGTCAAACTTAATGGGCCAAATTTATTATTAATTAATTAATAATTTTGATCCAATAAATTATAACCGTTGATGGACGGAAATCAACGGTTGGCATCTAAAATGATATAAACTTATATCCTTTAAAATGACAGATGTTATTTTCATATTTTTTAGGGGTTAATGTTTCCTATAGAAAATAAATTATCTTTTACACACACATAAAATTGTGTGAGGTCCATATAAGGAGAAGAGAGAGAAAAACAAAAATATATAGATTTTACATACTTTTATATACGTGTAGAAGATAAATTTATCTCCTACAAAGCTACAACATGACAAACAATAAACTCTTCTTTGTATATACTAAAACGAGTAGGCTTTACAATGCTCTCTGTTTACTCAAGTGATGCGAACGGAGAGGAATTTTACTCAAGTCATTAGTTTGGCACACTTAATGATTAAAACCTGAATATGTTGGATATGCAATTGTGTTAAAAATTTGGAATAGATAATTTTATCGTGGTTATAATCTTGTCCGATCAAATTAATTAATTAATCAATGAACTGGTAAAAAAATCTCAAAAAAATAAAAAACTTAATATGTCTTGTAAAAATTAAAACTAAAAATTAAAATTGAAACCCATACATGCTTTGCTGCGCCCCTATAAATATTTTAAATTAATTTCATATAATAATCACTCACAATCGTAAAATTAATCCATCAATCTTAAAATTAATTTATCACTTTATATAAACTAAAAATATGTCGAAAATAAGTGTTAAACTAATAAAAAAAATAATACAACTGATTTTATTAATAACTAAATGGAATTCTTCCGAATCTCAAAATTATATTATTTGGGATTATAGAGATAATTTTATTTTTTATGGTAAGAGAAACATCAAATGCTAATTAAATTAAGTATAATATTTTTTAAATAAAAGGTGAGAGACAAGATAAGACGAATTGACCCCAACTCCCAACATCAGTTAAACTTGTTCTACTTATAATTTTATTTGTGGAATGCAACTATTATTAAAGAATAATAGAAATCAATAAAAAGATTACGAATTCGATCCACATCAACTCTCACTTTTGAAATTAAATAAGCATAAGGTAAAAAATAAAAATAAAAATTACATTTTAAGCCCAGGGAACTTTTACCTGAGAGCATTGTTGTCAAAAACTAGTGTAAAAACGTAAAAACGTAAGTTTTTACTAGAGTGATGCGTGTTAAAACATAAGTAAAACGGTCCTTAGTAAAAAACAGGTAAAAGCGTTGCTTAAAAATGTAAAAACGGTAAAAACTTACGTTTTTACCCTTTTTACTTAAAACGAATTAAAAAAAAGTTTACAAAAAAAAAAAGGAATTTAAAAAAAACCCAATTTTCGTTTTCCCCAAATGCACAATATCTTCATATCTTTTTGTTTGGATATATGTCTTTTATACCGACCCCAATTAATTTGGAATAAAGGTGTTGTTGTTGATGTTGATATGTCTTTTATAATTATGTCTTATAAAACTGCAATTCTATTATAAGTTATGCTATGAGAATCGTTTTGTGTTTTTGGATCATTGTGTGCATTGAAAGAAGTAGAATTATATCCTGATGAGCGATGATCCAAAATCTACAGAGTATATGAAGCAGTTATAGCAGATTGGTTTTCCATTACTTGTTAATTATCACTATTTATAATTTTGATACTTGGTTATCAAAAATAATTTTCCTTTTTAGGCAGATAAGTGGCTCAACACACATGTTCATTATGTGATATTTTTTTTACATGCATATATATAATTTTGTATCTTAACCTTAAGTAGTAAAAAGTAGAAACTTTATATTTCGTGTTGTTTCTATATTTTATGTTTTTACCACCCATTTCCGTTTCTACCTAAAAACTCGAGTTTGACAACATTGTTTGATACTGTTAGACAGAATAATAAGAGTATTTCCTACTTACCCATGCTATCATCATTTATTAGAAAAAAAATAATAAAAAAAATCACTGCACGGAAATTGGTTTTTATTAGCCCGAAGAAAAACAACTTTCCTGCCACGTTATTTTTATAAAACCCATTTTATTTTGTATATATTTAAATTTTTATTTACTTATTTTTTAAAATTTATTAATCAAATCTATTTTTCTTATGATGAACTTTGTAGTAATAACACGTCAATCACCAAAAAAATTTATAATAACAAATCAAACAGTTCATGTTCCATTTAATTTGATACAATAAGCTCACGAGAGTTTGAGTTTCTGCTGATGAGAGTGCCTCGAAAATATAAATAAATAAATGAGAGGAATATATTATTCTACTTATTTTTATTTTGTCTGTCTTTGTCTATTTTTCTCAACACTCTTAGATTATAATCTCATCCAACGGTAGAGATTTACGAAATAAAATAAATCTTTTTTTCTTTTCTTTCTCCTCAGTGCCTCCTACACTCTTTCTCTCTCATTTCCTTTTTCTCTATCAATTTGTGTAATTTACAACATAAATTTATGTCTGAATCTAAAATGGCATGATAGTTCTGTTAGATGAATATAATTTCCAAAATTTCTTGAATATGATATAATTGAACACGTCAGAAATCACAAAAATACAAAAAAATAAAATGAAATCACAAATAATCTCTGCCTTTGAATTAATCCACAATTACCGTAACGTTTTCATCTTGTTTTTATCTTGAAGTGGGGAAAGAATATCTATTCTCTCTGTATTGCGCCCAACAACAGGTCTACTAGGATCCATAATATAGGCATCTGGATTTGTTTCTTCTTAACATCTCATTTTAATTTTTTACGTAAATGCTCGTAACAATGACTGTGTTAGATGAATTGAGAAAAAAATTTGCAACTTTTTTTTATGTTGTAGAGTCATTGAAAGAGAGAAAGGGGAGGAAAGGCAATGGGAGTGAGAAAAAGATAAAAAAATTTATTTTATATTATAAATCTCTGCCATTGTTAAATAAGATTGTAATAGAACAATATTAAGAGACTAATAAACAAAATAAGAATAGGGAGAATAAGTTATATCTAAATCAGATGTCTAAATCTTATTCCGCCAAAACCCTTTGGGCCTCATGATTCATGAATATTATAAAATAAATATCTGAACGGTTGATCGTTGCTGAGTCAAAGGAACATTAAAAACTGTATTTAAAATATTTAACACTTCAAAGTGGTTCGGTTTGAATGGGACATGCATTTGACTGATTGGTTCCTCCTTTGACCAAAACTACCAACTATCAGAACCAAACACAGAGAAAAACAAAACCCCACAAAAAAACAAAACTCACAAAGAATTTGAAAGAATAAGAAATTGATAAGTGAAAATGCTAAGACTAATTTAATCACAGTTCACAGTGATGAGTGATCCATGCATAACACTAAGAAGAAGATGATGATGATGATGAAGAAGAAGAAGGTGTCTCAAATTTGTAGTACTTATCCACTGCAACAGACACATCCCAAGTGCAACTTAGTCCTTTGGGTATGGTCACAAGGTCTCCAGCACCAAACTCAACAAATTCTGGTGACCCTTTTGGACATGCTTTCACCTTCCCTTTCAACAAATAGCATGTCTCTTGTGCATCAAACTTTAACTGGTACTTCCCTGGTGAGCAACCCCATCTTTCATTTTTTTACAATACAGCACCCCATCAAAAAACAAAGACCAAAAAAAGAAAATTTATTTATGCATGTTATGAATCTGAGTAAATAAACACAGAGTGAAAAAAAGAAGAAGGAAAAAGCAGAAAGAGAGATCAGAAAAAAATACATACTTGGGCCAACACTTGATGTTCAATTCGGCTAAGCGTGACTCTGGAGGGTTGCTTTCAATGGTGATTGTAAGGTTTGAATTGGAATTTGAAGCCATGTAAGCAATTAAGGTTATAATGGACAAAGCTGATGAGTGTTGAGCACTGTGAGAAAACTTCGGTTGCTTGAATGTTGTGTTTTGAAGAGAGAAAAAAAAAAATTAAAAGAAAGGAATCTTGTGCAGTGTTAGAGAACAAAGGATAAGAGACCATGAAATTGGATGTTGGATAACAGTTATTTAAGAACCTACCTATCACATCATGCCCTGTGTGCAACACAATTGTTTTTCGACAAAATCATTTAATTCACCGTTGCCTCGTGGGGATATATAATTGAAGGAATTTGATTCTCTTCTTTTCTTATAAGAATAGGGAATATAAGAGTGATTGTTGTTGAGAAAAAATAAAAGAAAAAACGTTTTAATATAGAGGGATTCATTATTACTTGTACAAAAAACTTATCAGTTTCATTATAGAACAGTTTGTTTTTCTATCCAAATTCTTAAGGTACATCTTCTTGTGTGTGTTGTCTCCGAATTTGCTGGGCAAGAATGATATTGTATATAAGAAAAATTAAATTAACATATGATAAAATGTCAAGAACTCTTAAGTTTGAGTCGATCGTGTGTAACTTATCTGAGTTTAAAAATGGTCAAAAGATTCTCTCAATCTTTATTTTATTTTATTGTTTAAAAATTAGGGAACTAAAACAAACGGACTAAATAAGGACTGTTGGGATTGACACAACCCAACCCAACAGGTCTTTTTCTACGTAAGTCCTACAGCCCCCGGGACATTAACAAAAGAGAAATATTTTTCTTATACGGTAGGAAAATAGTTACTTCATGTTGTAAAAATAAAATTATAAGTAAGACCTATAGATAAGAGGAGAGAAAAAAAAAAAAAAGCGGTGCTACCCAACTCTTTTTTGAGTGGATAGAAAAATTGTTTATCTCGTGTAAAATGAGATAAACATAACCCGTAACAAAAATATTAATTGCCCAAGACTCAAGATTTACACTAGCAGGCTACTTCATTCCCACCTTTCTTTTTGTCTGAGCACATTCTTTTCCAATTGATGACAAGATGAACACCTCTTATTTCCCTTGATGCTCCCCACACAAAGCCACGAATATGTCTTTTCAGTCTCATTACAAACAGCCACCGGTAGCAAGGCAGTCTGCATAGCATACGTTGGAAGAGCAAATAAAACTGATTTGGACAAGGTGATTCTTCTTGCAAGAGACAAAGATTTTTTAACATTCTAAGAATTGAGTCGACTTTTTACTCTATCAAGGACATGACCAAATATGGCTTTATTAACTCTAGCGTGGTTTAAGAACACTCCCAAATATTTCCCCAGGTTAGGAGTGATTCATATGCCAAGGCAATCACTAATTTATTTTTCTCTTCTATCGTTAACATTTTTCGAGAATAAGACACAGGTTTTCTCAAGACTAACCTTTTGCCCGGAGCTTAAAGAGAACACTTTGAGGACTTGATTTATGACATGGGCTTGATCTACAGATGCTTCAGCACACAGGATGATATCGTCAGCAAAGAAAAGATGTGAAATTGGAGGGCCTTTTTTTTCTGCAGCACTATCGATTTCCAGCTTTGACCTCATTAGCTAATTTGGATTAGGTGAGCTAACCTCTCAACACAAAGAACAACTAGATAGGGGAACAAATGATCCTCTTGCCTTATGCCTCAAGTAGGTTTGAAAAATCTAGTGGCTTGACCATTCCAGAGCAAGTTGAGTTCAGTGGTACTTATGCAGCTGTCAATTAACTTTATCAAATTGTCAGGCATTCCAATATTTGCAAAGGTATCATGTAAAATTTCCAGTTTAGGCGGTCATATGCTTTCTCAAGATTTACTTTAATCATCATCCAACCTTGCTAACCTTTCTTCCTTTTCATCGAATGTATGATTTTCTGGGCAACCAAGATGTTATAGCACTATGTCTTCCCTTGACGAAGGAGCATTGATTAGCAGTCACCAATTTGGGCATCAGATTTCTCAATCTATCAGCAGTCAGTTTTGCGAGTCAATCAGGCATATGTGAGTTTGATTGACTTGTTTGATCATCAACGGGTCATTTTTAGACAGAGTTACCAATTATGTACCATTGTGTTTAGAGGAAAGTTGCATGAAGACCATCTGAGCCTAGGGCTTTGAACTTCACCATTTTAAAACAACACTTCTTATCTCGGCAAAATAAGGAGCTTTAACTAACTTATTCCTCTCAAACTCCTCAGGTGCTGTAAAAGCTTTCTTAATAGGAAAATATTCATGAATACCTTCCTCAGCATAATAGAGTTTCTCAAAAGAACCCACTGCAGTCTTCACCATTTCATCCATATATGCAATCCACTCTCCTTGATATTTTTAATTGAAAGCTCCTTGTTAATTCTTCTTCGGGTAACAGTGGAGGAATGACAAAACTTGGTGTTTCTATCACCAAACTTGAGCCATTTACAAGTTAGTTCCTCCCTCACTAGGATAGTCTCTAATTCCTTCCAATGGTCTCTTTGCAGTCTCTCCAGCTTTTTGTCATACCGGATATCCAGCTGCAAATCAAGTCCTTCAATTATAGCATGAAGTTGATGCTTTTGTTTCATTTCTTCTCAAAAAGATTCATGGTGCCATCTGGAAGCTTCTGACTCAAACAATCTCTTAGCACTATTCCAGTCTACTGCATTCTCCAAACATTTCTTGACAATATTACCAAAATCAGAGTATTGTAGTGTCATCTTCCTGGTGTTCTTTAGGTTTCTTGATGCTTTGTTGCATTAAGTCTTCTTCCTGATTAACCGGTTCCTTTATCTCAGAGGATTTCTCCGCCAGTTCTTTTGTTCATTGACTGGTCCGATTCACTCAATCATTAAAATATGCAAAAAGATTTACTCTATCCAACAGATATCCAGTGAGTTAATAGAAAAAGTGAAAAAAAAATTACTTTGACTTCTTTGGTGATTTTTATTCTTTTCATTTTTGTGGATCCTACAAATTTCCTTTCTTCCTTTAGTAATATAGAGTCAATCAATCTCAAGTACAAAGTAGAATTTATTTTATCTTTGAAACGAATTCACTCGAATCTAAATAATTGGATTTAAGTCTCAATAATTGCTTTACCCTAACAATAGTTACGGGGGTTTGCATTCATCATGCAATATGACAAGAAATTTTTTTCTACATACACAACATTTTGTGGGGCTCGCATTTTTTGAAGCAAAAAAAAAAAAAAAAACTAAGGCACGAAAAACGAATCTTTATAACATGACAGAATCACTTTTCCTACAACATAACTCTTAAAAAACCCATAGTTATAACCCCTAACATGAATTAACTTCAAACCCAAAAGTAAAATATAAAAGAATTACCTTCAATACTTTTCCAATCAAGAAAATTAGTACAAGCCAAACTTAAAAATATAATTTTAAAAACCTTATATAAACCTTAATTGCTTAATCTTTCGAACTTACTAAGGAGAATGAACACAATTTTTTTTAGATACAAGTGATAATTGAAGATATAACCTAATACAACATACCCAAACCCCTTACCACTAGATCAATCCTCAGTGGCTTAAGACAATTTTTTCTTTCACATATTATTATTATTATTATTATTCCACTTAATATTTTATCTTTATGATTTAAAATTTTTCTAAACTCTCATCTCTATTTTTTCCCCATTTTTAATTTTACGATCTCTTATACTTATTTCCTCTTTTTTATTTTATTTTTATCTTCTCTCCTATTTTAAATTTTTTGATCTCTCACATTTATCTTCTCTTTTCTTAAGTTTTTTCTTATCTTTTATCTCCATTTTCTTAGTCGGAATGCAATTCAAAATAATCAAAGGCAATAACAAAAATTTATCTAATTTACCTGTTATAAAATCTTCTCCATTTTTCATGATTTCATGACAATCTTGAACACGTAAACTTTAATCATTGATTGATTATTGCAATGACTTCTCCACAAGTGGCGAGTTTAGACGATAGACGCTAGTAATTATGGCTTCGTTCTCTCCTTTTACCACCTATTCATTCTTCATAATCAGAACTTCCAAATTGAGAATCAAGTATCAAACAGTGATGGTTTTTTTCTTTAATCAAAATATTCATTTCATATCAATTAGTTGGAGTAAAATGTCCACTTAACTCCCACCAACAATCCTGGCCTAACTAGAATTACATCATATATCATGGCCAGATGGCCCTCCTAATGCAATACGAATAATCATAAGAAAAAAGCTACTAAATAAGTTACATTTGAGAGACGAAAATTAGTTCTATAAACCTTAACATTTTGAACCTCCCCTTTCAAGTTTTAGAATGTGATCGGAACCACCGTTTTATGAATGGTCGTCACCAATGCTGTGTTCAGCTAACCAATCACATTCAAAAATTAATGAGCAAAAGCTATGGCAGAAGACAAACTTCAGGCAAATAAATGCTGCCAAGAACTTTGGGCCATTAAAGTCTCCTCAGCATGATGATGATGCAATCAGCTCTTTTAGAATAATGCCAATGGAATGAGATGCAACTATCATATCAGTCTGATCCAGTATAAGCAAAAAGTAGGGATGCATTTGTTCCTCCGAAACCAAAAGAGTTTGACATAGCTACTCTAATTGGCATCTCCTCTGAAGCAGTCAATGGCATGAAGCCATTGCCGAATACAGGATCTGGCTTAGTTAAATTAAGAGTTAACGGAGCAATTCCCTGTGATAAGAACATAATAGGAACCACTCTATTAGATTAAGCACAAAAGAAACGGTATGCGCCAAAATGCTTCCCCACAGCTATTATGCAAAATACAAAAAAGTTGCTTACATGTCGTACAGCCAAAACAGCAAAAATTGCTTCAACAGCTCCAGCAGCACCCAGGAGATGACCGATAGCCCCCTAAAATCAGAAAATTTATGAAAATGTCATGGACCTGATCCAGCATGCTTTGGAAGAGAAATGAATTATCAATGTATCATGGTTCGCCCCATCCAAATAAAATAAATAAAGTAAAATCAGTGCAAAATGACATCTTCATTCCCATGGATGAGAGCTTTAATCTAAGAAGGGGCCAGCACTTATATTATACAGTCAATCAGATAAGCATATATCTTGTTGGTCATTCAATTTGTAATCGATTTTACCTTTGTGGAGGAGAAGGCTAAAGCAGATGAGTTTGCACGGTCAGAGAATATGGTTTTGATAGCATTAGCTTCTATTGCATCCCCTGTATAAAGGATTCAGGTGAGATAGTTTATGTCATAAGCACAAATGTCCCCAGATAAAGTATTCGAAATGAATAAATAATCAAGCTCAAATTGCTGGAATCAAAACAGGTCCACGTCACTTGCCCAAAGGTGTAGATGTTGCATGCGCATTTATGTAATCCACTTCAGAAGGATGAAGACCTGACTGCAATTCATGGAAAAGAAATCACTTAAAAAAAGATCGTCTAGACTATGGCTACGCCATAAATGCAGAGAACAAACAACAATACAATATGGCAGTTCATTTCACTTTCAAACTTAGCTACCATCGAACGAATACTGTTTCAAGCAAGGGTTTGGCCATCTTGTGTGGATACTTATAGCAGAACCCTCCATTCCCTGAACTTGATTGGTCTCATAGCAACAATGAAAGTAGAAAGTGGAGTAGAGTATGTCTCTACATTCATATGACAAAGCCACATAAAAAATGTGGGAGAGAGAAAAAAATAGATAGAGCAAGAAAGAATCGCGCATGACCATCAGGACATGTATACATGAAAAGTTGGCAGCTCAGTCAACATAAAACCTCTAATGCTGCATAACAAATACAAATCATTATAGATTTACAAAGGAAACCTGTCTTAAAGCACGAGTCATGGCCAAAATGGCACCTCTTCCATCAGTAGGAGGTTGAGTAATATGATATGCATCACCTAGTCAAAATTCACATCAAAAGAAATCAACCATACATAAAATAGACTAGGGAGAAAATTCTACATAACCTGCAATGAACTACCTGACATCCCATAGCCACGAAGCTCTGCATAGACTTTGGCTCCTCGATTTTTCGCATGCTCAAATTCCTAAAAGATGTGGGAAACAAAAAAATCAAGAAAGATAAAAGATTATAAACAAAGTAGGCATAGAGAAATTGGAGGGATAGACAATACACAATAAATTTCTTAACCAACCTCCAACACCAAGACTCCGGAACCTTCACCAATCCTGAGTAAAGAAATAACTTGGATATAAGCAGCAAGACAAACAAACCAATAATTTAAAGACACAAAGCGAACACTAAGTAAAACAGATGAATGGTTATAAGTAGAAACAAATCTACAATGTTGATATACTTACACAAACCCATCTCGACCACTATCAAAGGGTCGTGATGCCTCTTGTGGGCTTGAATTATATTTTGTAGTCAAAGCTCGAGCCCTGCAAGTCTCCAATATTAGATTTAAAATATCAGAGGGGAAAACAACAAAGAATTACTAAGGTGATTGACACTAACAGAGGGCAGAACGTGTCGGTCATAATTTACCTGCAGAATCCTGCAATTGATAATGCATCAATGCTGGACTCTGTGCCTCCAGCCACCATAACATCTGCATCTCCAAATTGAATCATCCTCATTGCATCACCAATAGAATGTGACCCAGTAGCACATGCAGTGACTGCGGCATGATTTGGTCCCTATATTCAGGAACGGGAATCAAGTTTATCACAAAGGTCATAGCATAGAACAATAAGCTAATAACTCTGCAACAACAATCAGCTTTACTACCTTATTTTTCTAATACTTTTGTTGACATATAAAATTATGATTATTCCAACAGGAGATATATCATGCTTGTTTGAGTGTCCAATCTTTTAAACCTGAATGACATATAATTACTCATTTCCGAATTAAAATGTAGGGAAGTTATATCTTTGTTTCGGAAGGTTGTTATTTGTCATGGGATTATGATGATAGTTTAATAATTAAAAGATCAAGAAACATGGAAGCAAGAAGATATATTGCCAAAATCTGTTCCATGGGAGTTCAATATATCCTGCAATAAACAAATAGTTTTCATTCTTGAAATCTGTATAACTACAGAAATTAGTAAACCAGAGTGCAGTTGCCTGTCCAGCAACTGTAGGAGCTCATTCATATTTGTAGTATAGAATACCAATCAGTAGAAAGTAGTCACTTTACCTGGAACCCATATTTCATGCTCACGTGACCTGATGCCATATTGATCAATATACGCGGGATAAAAAAGGGACTAAGGCGACGAAGACGCTGTATTCAGGGGAGAAAAAGAAAATATCAAATATAATAGTTTATTTATATTACCAAATCATTTTGCTATCTTAACTGAAAGCACTTCGAGAAAAACTTGAACAAGGAAAAATCATCAAAGTTCTTCAACACTAGTGGGTTCAAATATACCGACCTTCTCACAGATCAGTTGTGCAGAATCTAAGATGTCACTAATGCTTCCAGTTCCCCCACCAATAGACACCCCCTGATAGTGTTTGAAGTTAAAACACAATAAGTGACAAGGTGATTTTCAAAAATGATTTGTTATTACCCATATTCAATGAATTCATACCGTTCTTTCCTTCTGTTCCTGCTCAGTGGGAAACCAATTGGAATCTTTAAGAGCTTCATCAGCAGCACATAGTGCATACGCTATAAACCTTGCTATTGATCGATGGTCCTAAGGGAAAAGTCACAATACTACAATGATATCAATAAGCACGTATAAGTAAATGCAAAGCAATACCAGATAACAGTAAAAACTAGAAGAAACTACATGTCTACACAACACTTCTGATTAGGAAGAATGGGAACTTTCTCCTTCTAATTTAAAGACAATATTACTAACTCCCGAGAGGTCCAACAAACAGGTACCATGATTTCATCCAAAAATAACTTGACTTTTCTTTCTGGTAGGAAAAAAAGCCATACTTTGAAACGGATATGTTCTTGTGGTTTATATTCCAGCGGATTCAGTTTAAGATGTCAAAGATATCAAGCATGGTTATCCACAAAATATCGAATGGTTGTGACTTGTGAGTAAATACAAGCAGATACTGATCTGTAAATATAGTTTCATGTACACAATTCTTTGTCTGTGTGCATATACATGTGCAAAGTCATGTTTCCAATACACAAATTTATGTTAAAACTTCAACACAAACACTGGCTTCAGGTTTGCAGGAATAAAATACTTCAAAATATACCCAATCTGATGGATGCCATATTTGCCTGTGAAATCTTATAGACAAGCTATGCATCATAGCCTTAATGAACTCTTGAAAACTTATAATTCTATTTCACTTACTTATTCAACATTTATTACCGTACTTCAAGAACATCTAAATTTCAAACAGAAAAAAATTCCATACCTAAGTACAGAGTCAGAGACATTTAATCAAATATTCACCATGCATGCTACATAAATTGACGAGAAACGCTATAAGAAAAAGCGTGAATGCCATCATACCTTAGAATTAAGCCAGATTTCCTCGTTGAATTCGCCTGGATTAGTTCCAGAGGGCACAACTGCAGCAACCTTAGATGTCAATTGATCAAACGTACTCAATTGTGTGTCTATATCAAAACAATTCATCTTGAGATCTTCCAAACACAATGCCCTTATCCCACATTTCCCATCAATAAGGTTTTTCCACGTTTTATCCACTCCACAACCAAGAGGTGTCACCATCCCAAAACCTAAAACACCACGAAAATTTCAAACATTACAACATGATATCAATACATTTAAAGTGAAACATGAGATATAAATGAGAGTTACCAGTAACGACCACTCTTCGAGAAGAAACAACAGGAGGAGGTGGAAAAGCTCCACCTCCGATAGAAGAAGCTGAGGAAATGCTTCGATAAAAACATAGGCCAGAGGAAATGAAAACTCTACGTGAGACACGCACTGCCATGTCGAACCCCACAAAAGATAGATTAGTACGCAGCAGAAACCACCGTCAACGGCGGCGGCGCCGTCAATAGGAAATGCAATTTCTCCCTTGGGAATGAACAGTGAGGAATCTAAACAAAACGATGGGCATAATTTTAGTTGATATGTTTTTTTAATAATTGTAAAAGTATTTTTTTTATTTTATGTCTTATTTTTAAAAATTTATAAAAGATTTTCAAAATGAGTGTCAATCTCAATGTAAGTTATCTATGGGGCTTTTAGCACAGTGATGATATATGAACAAAACAACCTAATTCTAAGAAACAGAGATGATATTTTTACAAAGAGGCAGAGAATGAGAGGGACATTACCTAATTGCTAGTAATTGTATCATTCGTCGACAGTTCAAGGAGCTTCTCTGCAAGGAAAAAACAATAGCTGATGGTGAAAAACAAAAGGGAAGGTGAAATACAAACTGGAAAAGGAATGGGAAAAGAAAGGTACCAAGCTTTGTTGATAATTGATCTGTAACCTTTGCGCGATTGAATCTACCAGAACACAATACACACTGGGGCTTTGAGTTATGCTTCGGATCGATCTCCAGAATAGAATCGAAGTGGCGAAGCTCTTTCGGTCGCGGATTCTTAAACACAGAATAGAGTGTGAGCGAATTGCTTGGTGGCTGTAGCAATGGGTTTGTAATCTTGTTTTTTGTGATTAGAAAAAAAAAAAAAGGTTTTTTTTTTTTAAACAAAAAGAAATTCTGGTAAGAAAAAAAAAATGTGTATATATTTTTAACCCGATCTTATACCACGTGGAATAAAAAGACACAGGAAAAATGGACCTATCTTAAAGGGCTAAGAGCTTGTGGGGACCAAACTGCAAGTTTTATACTACTTTTAGAAAAATTAATTCTTTTGATGAATTCTCACATAGACTTTGGGTGCGCATGACAACATTCCCGGAATTAATTCTTTTTAATTTTTATTTCCGGAACAGAAATGGATAGAAAACTCGTTTGGTAAAATCGGTTTATTTTTTTTGTTCCCGGAATGAACCGGATTAATTTTTGTGCTGGGAAACAGAAAAAAGAATCAGAAAATTTCTGCTTTTTTGTTCCCCGGCACAAAATGAGAAACACTTATCTCTCTTAATCACTTTCCATCTCAACCATCATCACCATTACTATCATCGCAACACGACCACTGCCACCATCGTTGCCGCCATCGTCGTACCACTAGTGCTGTCGTGACCACCCCCACCACCACAATGCCACTGCCACCATCACCACCACCACCTCCACCCATGACTACCACCATGCCACCATCACCGCCACCACAACTACCACCGCTGCAACCACCACCAACTGTCACCACCACCATCACCACTACCGCCATCAACCACCACCACCATCATCGCAACCACTGCTGCCACCGTCACCATCGGCATCACCACGCCACTACCACCACTACTACCACCGCTACCATCACCATCATTGTCACCAACCACCACTATCATTGTTGCAGCCACCATCGACACTACCGCCGCTGCCGCCACCAACCATCATCACCATCGCCACCATTACACCACCCCGGCCACTACAACCACTGTCGCCGCCACCACCACTGTCACCTACCACCACCGCCACCGCCGCAGCCAATGCCACCACCACCACCATCTCCATGATGCCATCACAACCGCCACCACCATGTCACCGCTACCATTGTCGCAGCCACTGCTGTCACCTCCACCACCACCACCATGCCACCGCTACCATTGTCGCCGCCACCAATGTCACAACCACCATTGTTGCAGCCATTGCTGTCACCTCCACCACCACTACCGCCACCGCTACCATCACCACCACCACTATCATTGCTGCAGCCACCACCGCCACCACCACCACCATCGTCACAGCCACTACTGTCACCACCACCATCATCGTCACCATTACACCACCACCATTGTCACCTACCACCACCACTGTCACCTACCACCACCTGCAGCCACTGCCACCACCATCATCATCTCCATGATGCCATCACAACCACCACCACCATGCCACCACTACCATTGTCTCCGCCACCATGCCACCAACCACCGTTGTCGCAGCCACTGCCGTCACCACTACCACCGCCATCGTTGTAGTCACTGTCATCACAACTAGCACCAATATCATCACCACGTCACTGCCACCACCACCGCCATACCGCCGCCGCCGCCACCACCATGCCACCCCCCGCCGCCACCACCACCACAACCACACCATATGGAAAGGAAAATGATGTTCCAATTTTTTTTATATTTAATAGGAATTATTTTTTATTATATTATTTGTTGTGTTATCAAACACAATTCTCATTCTCGAAATAAAAATAGAATATGTTATCAAAAACATTTTTTTCTCAGAAACTGTTCCAAGGAACAGAAATAGAAAAGAATTGTTTCTTTTCAGAAACAGTGCTAGGGAATAGAATGGTTGTCATGCACACCCTTTATTGCATAGGCAGGCACCCACCTCTAAATGGCTTCACAGACCCCTCTAGGTTGTTAAGAGTTTGTGGGGACCGAACTGCAAGTTTTATACTATTTTTAGAAAAATTAATTTTTTGATGAATTCCCACAGAGACTTTATTGCATAGGCAGGCACCCACATTGCCTCTCACATAGCTTCACATGTACAGATCCCTAGAGGTGTGCAAAAAAGCTGGTTCACTTGCTCTGCTTTAGATCTAACCTTGACTTGACCCCTAAATATCTATTTTTTGAATTAGTTTTAAATACTGACCACTTTTATTTGGGTCAGTTTTAAACCTGACTTATTTTAATAATTGATCTATTGACCCAAAACTTGACCCATATCCATTATGTGAAAAAAAATCACAAGTGCAGTTTTCGTTTTTAAGGTTCTCACTTCTCTTTGTCGATATTCTTCTACTGCACCAAAGAGGATCAGCCACTGCAATCACAATTGCAGTTCAATGTATGCTTCTTCACTTTTCTTGTGCTGAATCCCGAGCTGATTGATTGATTTAAACCCATATGGGATGATATGCCTGAATACGTTATTGCTGCCACGTTTTGCTATAATGGTCTTTGTTGTTGGCTTTAGATCTAACTCTCTTATCCTTCCCACATCGCCTCCTTCATTTTCATAACAAGCAGTAGATTTTCTTTATCTATATTTCTTCGTTTTTTATTTTATTTTAATGGTTCTTACATCGTAGCTTTTTTTTCTCTCTTGAATTTTGTTGTTCATCTTCTCTCCGATGTAACTAATGTAACTCATGTATTTGGATTTTAAAATTAATAACACTTTATTTTGTTAAAAAAATAAATTTCCTTTATTTATTCAATAAATATCAAATTTATTATATAATTTATATATTTTAAAACAAATAAATAATTAAATTATATGATTTTAAAAAATTAAATCAATAACTATACAAAAAAAAAATCAAACTAAAAACATGTTTTGAAACCAAGTCAAAAATGGGTCGGGGCGGATTTGACCCGATTTTGAAACCAAGTAAGACCCACTTTAGAAACCAAGTCAAGTCAGATCCGACCCGGATTTGAACTAGTTCAAAAAAATTCAAACTAGGTCAGACCTGACTTGGATCAAATTAAACCGGGTTGGATCAAAATACTTGATCTATAAAAATCAAGTTGGGTCGGGTCGACACAAAAAACTGACCTGACCTGACCCATGCACACCCCTACCCCTAGGTTCAACTTTTAACCACCATAAAGATGAAATCTAATTTTGAGTCACATGGACATCAGAGTGGGGCTGGATATTTTTGTTAACAAGAGTGTGTATTGCACTAAACTCTAGGGGTGTTCATCAACCGATCCAAACCGATTCAAACCACGGTGACCGAACCGAATAACCGATAACCGAACAAACCGAAAATCGAAAAATCAAAAACCGAAAAAAAACCGCAACTTTTAATTGGATTGGATCGGTTTTCGGATTGCTTAATGAAAACCGATCCAATCCAAACCGATCCAATATATTAATTCCCCTCTACTTACTTTGGTCTTTCTCCAATCATAATCCAAAAATTTCTAAACCCAAGTCCCATTAACCTATCAACTAAACGAATAAAAAACTTAGTCACATCTCATCAATAAAATTTCATCTGTGTAGAGCTTCATATCTCATTGCCCAAAAAAAAACTATATTATCGTTTACTTATCCTTTTGTATTTTAATTTTTTTTACAAAGTCAATATATATATAAAAGATGTTATCTGCATGAAACAAATTTTAGGATTTTCAAAAAACCGAAAACCGATCCAATCCAAACCGAAAAAAATTGGATTGGATCGGATCGGATTTGAAAAAAAGTCCAAACCGAATGGATGATTACATGGTAAAATCGAAGAGATTGGATCAGATGAGTTTTGCTTCCAAAACCGATCCAATCCAGATCGCGAACACCCCTACTAAACTCCAATCCACTCCAACCATTGCGCTATCACCACAAAATAAAACCAGAATTAATAGCTTTCCTTTTTTATTTTAACTAGTGTATTACCCGTGCGATGCACGGGGAAAAAGATCAAAAAATTTGTCGTCCGCTGTGGTTGGTTAATCGCACTGCAAACCTTATACTTACAAAAAAAAAACGGTGTTGCTATTTTGTTTTATATTTCAGGTGGAAAAAACTACGACATTGACACAAAATTTTGCAAATATCAACCACAAACAAAGATCTGATATTCAGAGGGATCAATTATTTTTGCATACTAAAACTTCATAATACACCATGTTAACATGAGGAAGGGATATGAAAAGAATAATGCATACCACTCAAAGTAACAATAACACCAAGCACATATGGAGTTAAAAGATCATCACTTACCAAATATGCCATTTGCTATGTGATTTTCGTTCCTTGTGCCTGCGATTAGGGGTGTAAATGGGCTAGGCCGGCCTACAGGGGCCTACGGCCTCGCCTATATTAGGCCAGACTTGGCTTATTATAAATAGTAAAATAGAACAGGCCAAAGCTTTTAAGAAAACCTATTTAGAAAACATGTCATATGCTTTTTTGTACATGTCGGGCCTATAAGCCTACAGGTCGGCCCATATTATATTATTTATTTATAATATAATAAATAAAATTATTATTTTAATAATTTTGAATAATAAAATAATATTATTTTAGTTATTCTTTTAATTGTTGAATATTTAATAGGCTTAAACAGGCTAACAGGCCTAGGCCGAGACTTTTATTTTTTAAATATAGGTCAGGCCAGACTTATGATTTGGGACCTACAAATGCTAATAGGTCAGGTCATACCCGACATTTTTTACACAAGTCTGATCTATTTAAACCAAATCTTAATCTATTTACACCCCTACCTGCAATACAGAAGGCAAAAACTCATTAAATAAGTTACCCTAATATGTTAACACCCGAAAGTAATACTATCAACAACAACAAAAAATCGGTCGGTTTGTCGAAAAAAAACTTATCGAACTGGAAACAGAGAGTTACGTACCATTTTTACTATCACCAAGCGATTGTATGACATTATAGTAAAAAATATATATTTATCACATCACACTTAAGGTATTCATCCTTTTATAGTCAAAAATCAAGTATCCACATTTTGTATAAAAACTTTATTTTAATAATAATATATATAATAAAAGCTCTTTTATTTTATTTCTTAAGTTACTTTCATTTTGATATAAAAATGTGTTCTACAAATGCATTGAATTGGGAACAAATTAGATAATTACCCAAAAGAAATATAGCTATACAAATATAGCCACCAATGAACCTTCTCCTCTGCATTATTTTTCAATATGATCTTGTCTCGATGATTCATCTATACACAACATTTGTTACAAAATAAAATCAATTAATATACATGAAGAAATTTTTTTAAAATGTTGTGCTGATTGTTCATTTTGTTTAGATGAATTTTCATTTATCATAATCTGATTAATCATTTTATTTAGATGTTTGTTTCAGAAATATTTATAACAATAAATCCAATTATCCTAGCCACACAAAAACGGATTTGTTAAACAATAGATATAAGAAAAAACAAGTGTTAGTGGGCGGGATGATTGACCTCTAACTATCAACATTTTATATTAGCATGTAATATATGTGAAAGAAGAGGCAGAGGCTTTGAAATAACTATATCCCGAAGTAATCACATCGTGGATCTGAAAATTTTAATTGGCAGTAAATTTGTATATTAACAAGCAAATATCATGCGACTACTGAATTGTTGGGTCACCAAAATATGGAGGAGCTCGAGTGAACATCGTACTTTACAAGGAGAGCTTGATGCAACTTTATATTCAAAGGAGGGCTGAAAGGTTGACACGCAATAAGACGAATACAAGTCTTATATACTAGATTTGTCACTCCCAAAAGTTCGCGATCCGAACCAAACACTATGCAACTCTTAGTTGAAGGCAATGTAAACAGATAGAAGACCATTAGACAGTGGACAAAATTAGTGTTATATTGAAAACCATAGGGAACACTAATATTGTCCCCTGTTTGATGGTCTTGTAATCTGTTTGCATTGCCTTCAACTAAGAGTTGCATAGTGTTTGGTTCGGATCGCGAATTTTTCAGAGTGACAATTACTGTCATATTTTCTGTCTGTAAATCATATTTTTTGTCTGGGGTAACATTAAAAATTTATATATGTAGAAAGAGTAATTCTTGCCTAAAAAATTGACACTGGGTCGCTTTCACTCTTATGAGATTTAAGAGATAAAAGAGTAATGTATTTAATGAAAGGCAATTTATTTTTTACGAGCTGACAAAAACACCTTTCTCTTTCTCATTCACTCTCAGCATTGGCCTCATGTTCATGATGTTTGATTTTGTTTTTTTTTTTTTGCTCTCTTGTTTAATAATTGATATTTATCCCGTTGGAACGTGGACTATTCGAAGAAACACACGAGACCACATGGAACGGCTTCTTAAATTATAAATTGGAATATTTAGACTTTAATTAAGCGATCGCCTTTAATTATATATGTGATCTTTGGCGAATTATAAAATTTGATGTACATACCGAACTTACATGTGCAGTATATAGTTCAAACTTCTCTACCCATCTTAAAAAACTCATGCATTTGACCAATTTGCATATGATACTTCAATGTATATTGTATTGTTGCAAATGTATTTGTTTTTTCACTTTTGCTATTATATATTTGATGCAATTATAGTTTATCCGGGCCAAATTTAAGAAGTTTGGGTCAATCAGAATTATAGCCTATTAAGTATAACTCACATGTTCAAAATATAAGTAATTTTTTTTATACAATAGTAAGAATTGAACACATAATTTGACCCTAGTAGCTCAATATAAGTAATTTAAAATATAATAAATTACGATCAAATTGAAGTATAAATAAAACAAATATGATTATAATTTGATTGACAAAAAAAAATAAACAACAAATTTTGTATAATTTGAGATCTACGACTTGAGATGTATTGGTAATGATTTAACTGCAATTATTTATTTATTTGAAGTGTTTCCACTTACCTTTGATCACCTAGCAAACGACCATGCAAAAATTAAGGCCTCTTTTCAGGGTGGCCACGTCTCGTGTATATACCCATACCGTCAGATTACTTCTGCAAAGTGCACGACATCAAGACACGGATTGTTGACAGACGACCCAAAATTCGTGAATATACCCATACCTCTTACTTTTTTGGTATGGGTTCAAAAAAGTAAGAAGTATGGATATATCCACGGATTTTCGGGCGTCTGTCGACAATCCGTGTCTTGACGTCAGGGCAGTCTGACTTTATGGGTATATCCAAACGAGGCCTCCTCTGAAGAGAGGCCTTAATTTTTGCATGGTCGTTTGGTAGGTGATCAAATGTCAGTAGAAGCACTTCCAATTTTGAACGGAGAAAAACACACAAAGAGAGAAGAAAAATCTGAATGAACAAAAATATAATATTCATTCAAAAGCTTCTCTGTATTCTGGGGAACCAACAATCTTTATTCACCACCTTCAAATTCAGTAGTCGCATGATATTCGATTTGTTAATATCGACATCTACTGCCAATTAAAATCTTCAGATCCATGATGTTATTACTTCTGGATATACCTCTTCCACGGCCACAGCCACCCAGGACACGAATGCCAACTAACAGATCTCCATTAGGAGAATGCCAGCTATATACAGGAAACAAATGCTGCTCAACCATATAAGCTAAACAAATAGCTAAATAATATGATATTAAAGACAGAAATAAAATATTAAATCTATTTTGATAATTACATCAAGTGACAAGTGGGTTCTTTTGTTCGCTCTAAAAGAGAAACATAACTAAACAAACTCTAAAAGATCTTATAAAATTCACCCACCTCACGATTTCCGTGACAATATTCACACAAAATCCCATCGGCTTCATCCTCAAACGGGTTCCGGAGCTTGGAAGCACAAGTGTTGAGAGGGCATAAAGGTGGGTTTTGATTTGGAAGAAGAGGATTATTCTTCCAGATACTTAGGCTGAATAATTTCACTCTCTTTCTGCACCTTGTAACAGAGGTCGACCTTCTCAAGGAGTAGAAGTGTTGGAATCCCTCCTTTCTTTCTTCTTCATTTTCACGGCATATCAGAAGCATGGAGTAGACGTATTTGGCTTCACGATGACCGTCCATGGCTGCCTTCTTCAATTTCTCAAAGCCCAAGTTTGGCATCGCTGAACTGAAGAACTGAACCATCCCTTCACGGTAAGAAACTTCTACATTTCCACTCTCTTTACAACGTTGTACCAATGCTGATCTTCGTTGCTCCTTATCTTCACTAACCATCAACAGCATGCAATACATGTACTTGGCATCAACGTGATCCGTTAGTGCAGCATTTTTTAAAAGTTGAAGAGCAAAATTTTCCCTGCAAGAACAGCAATTTTGTTGGAAATATATATGACCATTCCGTCACGGTACAAAAGTTCTTGGTTGACATTTTTTCAGTAGTCGCATGATATTCGCTTTGTTACTATCGACATCCACTGCCAATTAAAATCTTCAGATCCGTGATATTATTACTTCGGGTTATGCCTCTTCCACGGCTACAGCCACCCAGGACACGGATGCCAACTATCATATCTCTATTAGGAGAATGCCAGCTATATACAGGAAACAAATGCTGCTCAGCCATGTATGCTAAAAAGAATAATGATTATTTTCAACTAATTGGAAGGGGAAGGGTGAAAAGTTGAACTGTGTAAGCTTGAAGAACTGATGGAAGCGAAAAGATTTAAATAAAAAGTTTTGAGGCCCGAGCAATGAGTCCTTTTTTCAAATGGACCTACACCTGCCAGGCTTCTATTGAGGCTCACTCTAAATTTCAAAATGGGTCCTTTTTTTTTTATCTAAATTTTCAATTTAATGCTTCAAATACATTAGGAACATTGCATCGGTCTTCTTCTTTTTTCTCTCTAGTTTTACTAATAACCCCAAAAAAACATATATATTTTTTAGTATTCAAAATTAAATTCTCAAAAAACCGTTAATACATTTTATAAGTAAAACTTTTTTTTTTTTGTTCTTTCCAAAATATTATTTTTCCCTTCAACTAATTACCTTTTTTTTTTCATTAAACTAATTAATTTACTTACACGTAAAACTAAACTTCAAAAAAGCAAAGGTAAAAAAAAATAAAATTTTAACAAGTAAAGCGATAAAAAATACTAACAAGAAACCATGTCCTCTGCGACTTCCAACCACTGAGACTATAGGTTAGGGGCAGTGGTTTGACACAGGAAACTGCATGCAGTGCAGAGAAGAGATGGATGTTGCTAAGAATAACAAAGGAGAAAGGTGTTGGGGTTGGGTTACACAAGATAATATTAAAAAACGAAATACAATCACAAATCAGAAAAGAAAACTATTCTGGAAAACCCCACGAAAGCTAAGCAGCACGAAGAAACTAGTAAACTACCATGCAGCTACACAAATCAAAACGTTTTTTTTTTTTTTTTATCTATGGGGCTTTTAGCGCACTGTGATGATATATGAACAAAACAACCTAATTCTAAGAAACAGAGATGATATTTTTACAAAGAGGCAGAGAATGAGAGGGACATTACCTAATTGCTTGTAATTGTATCATTCGTCGACAGTTCAAGGAGATTCTCTGCAAGGAAAAAACAAAAGATGAAGGTGAAATACAAACTGGAAAAAGAATGGGAAAAGAAAGGTACCAAGCTTTGTTGATAATTGATCTGTAACCTTTGCGCGATTGAATCTACGTGGTATAATGACCACGAGTGAAGTTGTTGGCAGCGTCTTCTTTGCCGCTAACGAGTTGCTCAGGGTGGAAGAGTTGCCGCAAACGAAAACGGCGCGTGGCGCGTGCTTTCCGGCACCGATTTCGCTGAAGAATGTGTTGAAGGTATCGTCTCTTTATAGAGTTAGAGTTGCTGGTAGAGAGTTGTTGGATGTTGGTTAGTGGCATTAATGAATAATGATGGTTGCCAATCTTAACTATTCCTACCCAACTTTTTCCTTTCGTAAAGTAGCATCATCACTATTCACTCATAAGAATTCGTATCAATTTTTTTATTTTTTTATTTTTACTGAAAGTACTTGTTATTTTTAAAAAAAATAATTGAGAACCGGGACAAAACTCATTTTCTTTACTTGCGAAGTAAATAAATAAAGGGAATGTTGTAATATTTCCGTAAATAAAATACATGAAATTGAAAGAGAAGAATTTTATTTTGCTAGATCCCCATAGTCATATATCCCATGCCATACCATCTTCTCGAATCTTGTGCTACCATATATCCATCAATATTAAATATAGTTACTGCAGCTTATATGCAGCTTATACCACTTGAACTACATATTAAAAGCAATGCTAAATAGGATCAAGATTAATATCACATTTATTCCAAATTAATTGGAGTCGATGGTAGACGAACCCACATAAAAGATACAAAACAGTTGAAAATAAAATAAAAATACAATAAATATATATATATATATATATATATATATATATATATATATATATAAAAGTAAAAAAGAAAGGGACAAGGAGAAGTGGGGGAGATGAAGGGGAAAAGAACTAAAAAAGGACCATCTGGAACATAGGAATAACAACGGGTCTAATCCTCCACAATATTTATAGCTTTTCTCCATTCCGTTCTAAGACATATCGTCCGCCAATCAATATCACACTCCATTAAATCTTGTTTTACTACCTTCCCCCAAGTAAGCTTCAGCCTACCTCTGCCTCTTTTTGTGTTGAGCTCTTGGTAACAAACTTCTGTTTTTACAGGAGCATCCAGGGGCCTTCTCATCACGTGCCCAAACCACCTCAATCTATGTTCTTTCATCTTCTCGGCTACTGGTACCACTTCGACCTTTCGTCGAATATCTTCATTTCTTATGTTATCCAACCTTGTGTAACCGCACATCCACCTTAACATCCTCATCTCTGCTACTCCCATCTTATGCTCATGTTGCATATGTGTTGGCCAGCATTCCGCGCCATATAGCATTGCCGGTCTTACTGCCGTTTTATAGAATTTTCCTTTTAACTTAAGAGGGATTTTGCAGTCACACAAAAACCCAGATGCACTACGCCATTTCATCCACCCTGCTCTGATTCTGTGATTTACATCCTCATCAATCTCTCCACCTTTTTGTAAAATGGAGCCCAAGTATTTAAAAGCATCTTTTTTGGGTACCTCTTGACCACTTAAATGCACGGTCTCTTGGTCCCCATCTCGTACTGGAGAAAACTCACACTTCAGATACTCAGTCTTGCTTCGACTTAATGTGAATCCTTTGGATTCCAATGTGCTTCTCCACAATTCAAGTTTTCTATTAACACCCTCCTTGCTCTCATCAATAAGCACAATATCGTCTGCAAAAAGCATACACCGTGGCACTTCCTCTTGAATATTTTTTTTTAGTTCATCCATAACTAAGGCAAAGAGATAAGGACTTAGAGCCGACCCTTGGTGTACACCTACCGTGATAGGAAAATAACTTGATGTTCCGTTACAAGCTTTTACACATGTAGTAGCCCCAACATACATATCCTTGATTGCCTTTACATACTTTGATGAAACCTTTTTCTTCTCCAGAACCCACCATAAAACTTTCCTTGGAACCCTATCGTATGCCTTCTCAAGGTCTATGAACACCAAATGCAAGTCCTTCTTCTTTTCTCAGTATCTTTCCATTAGTTGTCGCATCAAGAAAATGGCTTCCATGGTACATCTTCCTGGCATAAATCCAAATTGATTTACATAAACCTTGGTATCTCTCCTCAAGCGATGTTCAATAACCCTCTCCCACAACTTCATAGTACGGCTCATTAGCTTAATGCCTCTATAGTTTGAACAATTCTGTATGTCTCCCTTGTTTTTGTAGATAGGCACAATCATACTTTTCCTCCATGCATCAGGCATCTTATTTGTCTGAAGAATCTTATTGAAAAGATTGGTCAACCATTTTATTGCCACACCCCCCAGGCCTCTCCACACTTCAATAGGGACACCATCAGACCCCAAGATTTTATTAGTCTTCATCCTCTTTAAAGCCTCCTTAACTTCATGTGTATTAATTCTGCGAACAAATCTTCTATTCATATCATCATACGCGTCCTCCAAGTCCACCTCGCTTGTATCTCCATCCCCATTAAACAGCTTGTTGAAGTAGTTCAACCATCTTTCATTTACATCTTCATCTCTCACCAGAAGTTTTTGATTTTCATCCTTGATGCATCTAACTTAGGTGAGGTCTTTACTTTTCTTATCCCTTATCTTTGCAAGTTTATAAATACCTCTTTCACCATCATTGCTCCCAAGATTTTTATACAACTCATCGAAAACCTCGCCTCTAGATTCTCACACAGCTTTCTTTGCATTTTTTCTCGCCAATCTAAACTTTTGCAAGTTCTCTTCACTAGGACTTTTATGCAAAGATCTAAAGCACTCCTTCTTATGTTTAATTGTCTCTTGCACCTCTCCATTCCACCACCATGTTTCCTGTGTATGAAATCCATTTCCTTTGCTTTCTCCCAACACCCTCCTTCCCAAATTTTGAATATACTTAGCCATCTCATTCCATATTGGATTTACTCCTCCATCAAACTCCCAAGGTCCTTCGTGCAACATTCTTTCATTAAACTCTCTCTCTTTTCCCTCCTTAAGCTTCCACCACCTTATCCTCGGGTTATGAGCCCTCTTCTTCAATGTAAGTACTTTGTTGAACCGAACATCCAAGACTACCAGCTTATGTTGCGTAGCGACACACTCTCCAGGGTAGACCTGACAGTCGATACAAGAAGTTATATCTTCTCTTCTAGCCAGAAAGAAATCAATCTGACTACGATTTTGGCCACTATGATAAGTGATTAGGTGTGACTCCCTTTTTCGAAAAAAGGTGTTCACTAACATCAAATCGTAGGCTAGTGCAACATTCAAGATATCTTCTCCAGTCTCGTTTCTTGTCCCATAGCCAAAACCTCCATGGATTCTATCAAAACCTCCATTGCTTTTACCAACATGACCATTTAGATTTCCTTCTAAGAAAATCTTCTCCTCTCGAGGTATTCCCCTCAAAACCTCCTCCAAGTCTTCTCAAAATTGGCTTTTATCAGTTGGTTGCAATCCAACTTGGGGTGCATACACACTGAGGATATTCAGGATTAAATCACCCACAACAAGCTTAACCAGAATAATCCTGTCGCCTTTCCTTTTGACGTCCACAACTTTATCTCTGAAACTTTTATCGATCATAATTCCAACACCATTTCGACTCTTGTTAGTACCTGTGTACCATAACTTGAAACCAGTTCCATCCACTTCCTTAGCCTTTTCTCCAGCCTACTTAGTTTCTTGCAAACAAACAATATTCACTTTCCTGCTAGCAAAAACATCTGTCAACTCCCTCAATTTACCCGTTAAGGTTCCTATGTTCCAGCTTCCCAATCTCATCCTTAACCCCTGGGCTGTGTTTGCCCGCCACGCTCGCTCATCTGCGTGTTTGGACCCTGGCATACTTCTCACCAAATCCGGGTGAAGACCTGGCGCCTTGCCTTGGGGCAAGGACCCTAGCCCATTTTTCACTACACCCCGGGCCCGATGCAGCGCCTTGCCTTGTGGCAAGGACCTTAGCCCATTTTTCGCTACACCCGGAGCCCGATGCAACGCGTCGCTATGAAGGGTACGTCCCAACGAAAAATCATATAGGTTCATCACATAAAAATATAGCTGTTTTTTACGGCCGGTTCGCAACACCTGACACCAACCCTCCTCCTTTATCCTGGCTTGGGACAGGCCATGCATGCAAGCACACATGGGCGAAGTTCAATGCTAAATAGGATACCAAAAAAAAAAAAATAATGCTAAATTAAAAGCAGAACCCACAATGCAACGATCGATATCTTGAAGGCATTATTTCTATGTGATTTGTATTATCATACTATTGTATCACTGCACTTATAAATATATAATTATGTTATTATATATATGTCATATTTAACAAAATTCTTAGTATTTTATAGAAAGCTTGTTGCTAAGCTTTCAGCATAAGCAAAACATCTCAAAGCCTTGTAAGCTTAGCTCATTCAGTTGCAATATTTCAACAATACTTTTATCAATGCAAGCAATGACATTAATGCAAGCTAGTTTAAACAACCTGACAGCTTCATATCAACATTGCATGACTCCAATCAACAGTAAACACTTGTTTTGTCCAACTATTGGTCTCTTGATATTGCCAAACTTTCTCTTCTTTCAGCAAAGTGGCTAATCCATGAATCCAGAACTCACCAGATGCCACATTAAAATTTAGAAACCAAATAATTTTTTTCCAATTAAATAATATCAGGAACACCGACCAAAATGTCACTCTTCACCAAGTTTTTTATCTAAATGTCATGCAAACAGTGTTATTTTCCAATCTATCACGGGAGCAAGTTCGCTACCCGATGTAGCGAACTCGTTTTGCTGATGTGTCACATTTCTAGTGGATAACAAGTACCAAGTTAAAAAAAAAGAGTATGGAGTTTGCTACATTGGGTAGCGAACTTGGTTTTGACCATTTAATCGATTAAATCTTCAAGTTAATCGATTAAAGAGAGGCTGATTGATAGATAATTTTGAGTAAGGGACAAAATAGTTATTAATTAATTAATAAGGGGCAAATGGTCAAAAAGCCAAATATAAATAACGTGAATGATAGTTTGGTTACTTTTTAACAAATAAGAAGTTAATAAATGGAATTATTTATTAATTTTTCAATTTGAAGAATTAAGTTTAGGTCAGACGCAATTAGGTTTTGAATGTTATATTCAAAAATTATAAAGTAATTTGAAGAATTAATTTTTCAATTTCAAGAATTAAGTTTAGGTTAGTGGCCTTAAAATAATATCAAATAATTTTATTCGTAACACTATAAAGCAATTTTAATAATTATAATTATTTTATTTGGTTAACATAGGGTAGCCCAAAAAAATTAACATTTTATAAAACTAATTGTTGAGTGCAGATTTACTACACATTAAAAAAATTAGAGTTTTATTAATCTCATGTCAAAGGAGATAAGTTATCTCATGTCATAAAGATAAATTTGTGAGCTCCACTATCTGAAAAATAAAAAATAAAAGAAAAGAAAAAGGTGACACAGTTATCGAAGGGTGTGTAGGAGAGAAAGTTATCACATGTAATATAAGAGTAGTTTTTTTCAAAAAAATTAACATGAAATAATAGAAACAAATAATTTGTCATATATATCGACATTGGGTTAACATTACAGAAAACCTACAAATTATATTAATGTCCTATTTGTATTAATAAAATTGTGTTTTATTCAGATCACTTTTCTACATTTTTTTTTATTTTTTGGTATCCAGTTTTGTACAATTTTGTTAATCATATTAATTTTTGGAAAGGTGTTTTATTAGGTATATTAAAAAATTAGTTTAGTGACCTTAAATATTAATAACACAATATTTGCATTATTTGATATTTATATTATTCGATATTTATATAATTTTCACTCCTCCAACATAAAAAAACGCAAAAACAAACAACACACAGGAAAAAAAAACAAAGGAGAATAATGAGAACAATAAAGTGGTCGTCTGAATCTGATTGAGTAGAACTAGGCTCAACACGTCAGGTACATGGATACTCAGTTCCTCTGACATGCACTGAACACGTCCTTATGGGTACCGTTTCTTTAGTTGTTTTGGCAAGTTCTACACATTAGCTTCCCTGGCGTTTTTATGGGAAGTATAGTACGCGTCTGGTTCAGGGACGTGTTCCTTACTCTGACGTGTAATGTACAACAGACAGTGACATGGCTGGCTTTGGAACGTTTTCATAAACAGTATACATACTACCATGTCTTATTCCGGCGACTGACATAAATGCATTACTTTGGACAATAGTTTGACCAAAGGCTTATTCAGGTCAAAATTTAAAATTGTAAACTACATAGGTCAAAAAGCCTCCAGCCACTGCTTGATGAGCATAGCTAGACGAGGGATAGGGTGGTCCAAGGGATCAGATTCTGGATATTACAGCAGTCACCTTCAGCATTAATGTTAGGCAATTTGTCTCACCATCAAAGAATGTTAGAAATATTTTTTTTTCCAAAAGAAAAAAAAACTTTTAATCCCATTGTATAGATCTCTTTATCTCCTGTTGGATCATATAATTATCTCATGTAATAAAGATAAGATAATGAAGTCCACTATTTAAAAAAAAAGAAAAAAAATAGTAGATCTCAATGATAATTATCTCATACAACATGAGATAATTATTTCTATATATATATATATGTGTGTGTATGTATGTATGTATGTATATAGGAGGTTATACTTACAACTTATTTTTCTTTACAATCTCTTACAATCATATCTTAACTGTTGATTTCTGTCAATCAACGGTTAAGATTTATTGTAAATTAATAATTAATTAATAAATTTTATTTGCGAAAATTTTAACCGTAGATTGACGAAAATCAACGGTTAAGATATTGGTGGTAAGAGGTTGTAAAGGAAAATAGGTTGTAAGTATAAACTTCCCCTATATATATATATGGAAAAATGTTTATTCTTTTAAATGACACAACTTATATCATTTCACTCTCACAAAGAGGTGGGACCCATATCTTTATTTTTTTTGTCAACTCTCTCTCATGCTTTATCTATCTCTTTTTCTCTCTTGAAATGACACAACTTTGCATCTTTAAAATAACACACATTTTACCCATATATATAGGGAAAAGTATTTGTCATTTTAAATGACATAAAGTTATGTCATTTTAAGAGAAAGATAGACACAAAATAATTTTTTATTTAAAATTTAAATCAAAAAATACCCACTTTCTCTGCCATGATTTTCATTTTTTGTGTCTCTCTCTCTCCTAAAATGACATAACTTATGTCATTTAAAGTGACAAACATTAAACCCATATATATAGGGGAATATTCATGCAACAAAGTTTGTAATTTGTAAAAAAAGTTTATAAATAGATCATTCCACATATATATGGGAAAAGTGTTTGTCATTTATGCAGGTTCTTTTGATTGCTCAAAGAGAGAAAGTGAAAATGACGAAAACCATTAAGGTAGTGTTTGGTTGAAGGTTTATTTTGGGATTGATGGGAAAGTGTAAGTGGATATTGGAAAATACCACGTTTGGTTCAGGTTTTTTCAAAAAATACTAGGCAAATAGGATAGATGGGGAAATGACTTTTGTGTTGATTTTTGGATAAAATTCATTGTTACAGAATACCACTTGAGATATGGTATTTTGAGATAACTGGGGAAGTGAAAAAATAGGTGCGAAGTTTCTCCGGAACATAGATTTTGCAAATTTAAATAAATTTTCCTGGTAATATTTCGGTCAACCAAACAACTTTTTTTATATTTTTCTACCAAACTCACTTTCCAACCATTTCTCTAGTAATTACATTTCCCTAGTATTCAAAAAATTTCTCCTCAACCAAACGCAATTACAATCTAAAAAAGCCTGAACTTTGCCTAGAACATGTTTCTTTTGATCTTGCTTTAAGAGGTACTCATCAGAGCAAACCATTGCCAAACAAAAAAAATATCACTCTCAAGGCATTAGCTACCATGTCGTCAAAAGAAATCGACTCAAGACCATCCATCTCTTCTCTGCACTGCATGCAAGTTCTTTTGATGGAAAAACTCAATGGTATGAGATTGTCAAGAGTAATTTGAATACCTTCTCGAAGAGAGAAAGTGAAAATGATGAAAATGAAGGTATATCATCAGAAACGCGAAAGCGCGTCGTACCGATGCGATGAGGAATGAAGAACACCGCTTTGATTACCTGAGATGAAGCAGCGAGCGTGACAATTTCTCACGTTCTGTTCTCCTCCTCAAGCCTCACGATCTGCAGCAACGCACCACGAACGGTCGCAATTCCGCTCTACGGTTGATCTTCCAGGCTATGACTCAAGGGGGATCAGGTGGTCGTGTGGGCAACCGTTCAAATGATGAACGTCTGCCTCTTAGGTGTGTTTCTGATGTCTGTAACCCTCTGAGGCACTTGAGAGAAAAGAGAGTTTATATACTCTGCCCAATCCAAAACTAACCCTAAGCTTCATGGGTTAACATTGGACTTTGGGCTCACTCTCACTAAAGCTATTGGGCTTAAGTGAAAAGAGCATACTAAACCTAACAGAAAACCATTAATTGCAATATGAAAAAGCCTGAAATTTTCCAAGAACATGTCTCTTTTGGTGTTGCTTTAGGAGGTACTCATCAGAGCAAACCATTGCCAAACAGAGAAAATATCACTCTCAAGGCATTAGCTACCATGTGGTAAAATAGTTAAACCTTGTAAAAGGTGTTTGTCCCATTATAATTTGATGTCAAATAAGTTTACACACTTGATTAATATATGGAAACTTGTTGCAAAAATGATTTTGACAGCACATTGATTTTTAAAAGTTTTAAAGAATCCTTTTTATCATAGTTTTTTTTACTTCTGATAAGCTTCTACTTTCGTTAAACTTTTATTGTATAAGTATCTCTTAATTCATGACATACACATAATTTGATAACTTTTGAGACAGACGTTAAAGGATAAAATAACCATCAGCTAAGTGGAGTGGCTCCCCTTTCTGCCATCTGTGCTCCACCGAGGTAGAAAACATCTCTCATGAGCTTAAGGATTGTAGAAAGGCAGCCCCAATCTGGGAGGCTTGGTTCCTAGGCTCTCCCCAGGGGACTTCTTCAGCTTGCCGATTAAAGATTGGTTCCAAAAGAATCTCAACCAGGGGTGGCCTAATCAACAACTTTTGAATTGGAAGGATATTTTTGCTTCCACCATCTGGCATCTTTGGAAGTGGAGAAACAATAAAGCCCATGACCCTCATTTTTCTAGACCGGATTAGCCCATCATCTTTATCTCCAAGTTTGTTAGAAATATCATCACCAGTGGTCTTAATCGTAGGCTTGTTCAGAGTCAATCTCGTGCTTCCCATAGAGCGTCTTGGACTGCTCCCCCTCCAGGTTGGATGAAGCTTAATGTAGATGCTTCTGTGAAACCCAGTACTGAGTTGGCTGCGTGTGGGGGTCTTTTCAAAGATGAGGTAGGTAAATGGAACTCTAGATTCTTATAAAAGGTTGGAATTTGCTCCCCGTTAATAGATGACCTTTGGGCTATCTTCATGGGAATCAGGGTTGATAGGGCTAAAAGAGTGTCTCAACTAATAGTTGAAAATGACTGCTTAATAGCCATCCAAGCTATCAATGGCAGCACAAACAATTATGGAATCTCTCATCTTGTGGATAGCATTAGAAGCTGGAGTAACAAGGATTGGAATGTCATATTCACGCATGTCAAAATGGACAACAATGGTTGTGCATATATCCTTGCTAATCTAACTTCTTCTGCACTTAGAGGATTTCATCCTTTTGTGTGAAGCTCCTTATGAGCTGAGACTGCTTCTGGACTCTGAAGCTATTTTGATGTAGTTTCTTTCCTTTGGGCTCTGCCCCTTTGTTATATTAAAAAGCAAGAAATAAATTTTCTGGCCTATTGTGAAAAACAATTTTTTTGATTTTTATATTAACAAAAGAAATAAATTTGTTGCTTGTGCCCAAAATTTTTATATCAGATTAATTAATAATTTTTTATGCAAGTAAAATGGATAAAATAATTTAATTATATTTAATAAAAAAATTATAAGGGATAATTAATAAGAAAAAAAATTGATAAAAAAGTAAACCAACCGGTGATTATGAACTTTTTCCAAATTTTTATTGAGAAAAATATTTGTATTTTTGAAGAATATAACTTGTGTTATTTTATATCTTAACCATTGATTTCTGTCAATCAAGAGTTAAAATTTATTAAGTTTTATTGTGAATTAATAATTAATTAATAAGATTGGGATATAAAATGACATAAAATTATAATTCTTTAAAATAACAAACGTTTTTTTCCATTTTTATTACTGTGTTTGTGTCGACGTGTATCACTAACTCACTACCTCGTACCTCGTTGAATCTCAAATCCTCTTGGTTTGTGTTTGACTGTTTTGTTGTTGTGCTGTTGGTGTAACATTCCATTTCATCTAGCCATGGCAACTCAAGGACAAGTTATTACCTGCAAAGGTTCTCTTCTTTTCTTGTTATATTCACGATTCAGTTTGCACATGCATTCTCTGTTATTATTACATCTGAATCACTGAAACCATTTCCATTGTGAAGCCGCGGTGGCATGGGAACCCAATAAGTCATTGACCATCGAGGATGTTCAGGTGGCTCCGCCGCAGGCTGGGGAGGTCCGAATCCAAATTCTCTACACTGCTCTCTGTCACACCGATGCTTATACTTGGAGTGGCAAGGTAGGTACCCATGTTTTGATTTCATCGAAGTTTTTTTATTTTTTAATTGGTGTTTGTTAGAGATGTGAAAACTGGTAGACACGAAGATAAATTTGACACGACACAAATACAAGCAATACGACGTTAATTTTTTTTATTCGTGTTAGAATCTTCAACACTATCAATATGAACACTATACGAATTTTTTACATATATATTACACAACACTTTGACATGCAAATTATGAGTTAAAATGTTAATTGACAAAACAAAATTAAAAAAATGGGACCAAAAAAAAAAAAGATTAAAAGAATATGGGTCGAATTCTTGTTGACATAACAAGGACATGACATGAAATTTTTGCTGGTCATTTTTTTTAATACGAACATGACACCAATTTTTTTCCGGATCGACCCGAATATGAAATTTTCGTGTCGTGTCGTGGGTCAACCCGCATCTGATAACCTGTTTTAACACCCTAGTGTTTGGTGTTTATGGGTGTAATGCATGGTGGACAATTTAGAAAAGAAAAAAAAAAAGATTTTTTCTTCTTCTTGAATTTGCACTGCTGGGAATTTATAGTATGTTTGATGTATGAAGGTCTTTCTCATATGAATTTATCATAAATTGAATTTGCAGGATCCAGAAGGTCTCTTCCCATGTATACTTGGTCATGAGGCTGCTGGGTATATATATGGAGAACAAAACAATAGAATACTTTTCTAAGCTAGATGATGAAAACATGTACATTGGCATGATTGATTGTTGATAGGAGTTTATGTTTTGGTACAGGATTGTAGAAAGTGTTGGAGAAGGTGTTAATGATGTTCAGCCTGGAGATCATGTCATCCCATGTTACCAGGCTGAATGTGGAGAGTGCAAGTTTTGCAAATCCGGCAAAACCAATCTTTGTGGCAAAGTTCGTTCAGCCACTGGAGTTGGGGTCATGCTGAGCGATCTCAAGAGTCGTTTCTCTATAAATGGGAAGTCCATCTATCATTTTATGGGAACCTCCACGTTTAGTCAATATACTGTTGTTCATGATGTTAGTGTAGCTAAGATTGATTCAAAAGCTCCTTTGGAGAAAGTTTGTCTTCTTGGATGTGGTGTTCCAACTGGTGAGTTTTGTCCTTTTGTCATATGAAAAAATTGTATTGAGATCTTGCAATTTATACAGAAAGTAGCTTATCATTTCTATGCATCATTTGTTAGTGTTCATAGTCTAATGAATTCATGAAATGAGTGGGCAATGATGTTCCATTTGCCCGTGGAGATGCATAATGTGGTCATAAGAAACTTCTTTCCATACAAATATAGCTGGTTAAACTTTCTGTTCCCTATCAGGCTGACAAAATTCAAGTTGCTAGCTAGAATAATCCCATGAGTACCTTTGACAATACTGTGCTACGAAAAGCTTACTCCATCTCCACTTAATTCTAACACTGGACTTTGGATGTATTTAAATGTTTTATGTGATGGAGGGTATAATGAAAATGTAGGGGGATAGATTACTGAGCTGAATGTTAGAAGTTTCAGTTGATGCAGGTTACTCTGTCCTACCTTGGTTGAACAGAAAATTAAAGAGGAGGGGTTGCTAATTTTTTTAACGCCCTTATGTAACAAGAAGTGAAAACTAATATAAGCCATGTATCGATTTTGTTTAAGTTCCTAAAACAATGTTTTTTGTCTTATTTATCTCGCCCAGTTTTTAACTTGTTTATTTATTAATGAAAAAGATTTCAGTATTGTATGTGGTATTGATTTTTATTTCTTACTCTTCTTTCTTTCTTTCTTTCTTTCTCAATGTAAGCACTCTGGTGGACAAGATTGGTGGATATTGAAACTGTGTGCTTGTTTGCTTTATTACAGTTATTTCTTTTCAATATTTTAGGCCAAATTCAGTTATTATTTTAAGTAACGTTTTAGGACTTGGAGCTGTCTGGAACACTGCAAAGGTGGAACCAGGGTCAATTGTAGCTGTTTTTGGCCTTGGAACTGTTGGGCTTGCTGTGAGTTTCTAAAAAGACAGTAGTAGATTTTTGTATTTTTGTATTTTTGCTTGGTCTCGAGGCTTCTATTATGACTCATAATTTGCACTTGACAGGTTGCAGAGGGAGCAAAAGCTGCTGGTGCATCACGGATTATTGGCATAGATGTTGATAGCAATAAGTTTGAAAGAGGAGCTTGGTTGACATAATTTTTACATTATGTCTTTATTCTTTAAAGCTGTGGAGTGATCTGGTGTCTAGTATCTCTATTATGTTTAACTTACACTTTTCCAGATTCTTTTATTGACTATCATCTAGTGTCTGACCGTACAATAATCAAATTTTTTGCAAAGCCACCTAATAAAGGAAGAAGATAATTTCATTTTTAAAGAATTTCATTTACAAGCGGAATAGTATGGCAATAATATGATCTTAATTTCTTTTCCTTTTTTTATTTGTATTTATAATTTTATTGACTTATTCCTTAATTGTTTTTCTTCTGTGGTGACTGCTATAGGCTTATAGTATAAGAATACTGTCTACTCATGTGCTATTGTTTGCTCTCAGCTTTGGTTTTATTCAATATTCTATTTCCTTGTCTTATTTTACTTTGCAGCAAAGAACTTTGGAGTCACTGAGTTTATTAATCCAAAAGAACACGAGAAACCAATTCAGCAGGTCATAGTTGATCTCACAGATGGTGGAGTTGATTATAGTTTTGAGTGCATTGGAAATGTCTCAGTGATGAGGGCTGCTTTGGAATGCTGCCATAAGGTGAATGCTGCTGCTACCTCATTGCTACCTCAATTGCTTATATATTAATTACATTATGGGTCTTTTAAACTTGAAAATATATATATATATATATATTCTTGTTGAAAATTTGCAGGGTTGGGGGACATCAGTTATAGTAGGTGTTGCAGCATCAGGACAGGAAATATCAACTCAACCTTTTCAGTTGGTGACTGGACGTGTCTGGAAAGGAACAGCTTTTGGTGGCTTCAAGAGTAGGTCACAAGTGCCTTGGCTTGTAGACAAGTACTTGAAGAAGGTAAAGGTTTTTCTCAATATTGTTGGAAAGTGGTAATGCATGGTTAGCTATGAGTACTATGTTGTCTGCTTTACTCATTTTGCAGGAAATCAAGGTTGATGAGTACATTACCCACAATTTGACTCTTGCGGATATCAACAAGGCATTTGACCTTATGCATGAAGGAGGCTGTCTCCGTTGTGTGCTTGCTATGCATGTGTCGGTGGTGGCTTTGAAAGTTTTGCGTGGGATAGAAGTGTCACCCTTCTTTTTCTTTTCCCTCTTGTGGTGATTGAAATAAAATCAATCAGGAGTGGCTATAATTCGGAAGATCATGGCTTTATAATAATAATATGAACATTAGATTCCCAAATCTCTTGCGAACTTGTGAGCAGAAAGCCTTTGCAAATTGCAATGCATATAGGAACATTATTTTCAGTTATGACTCAAATGTCAATGCTCATTGTAGACACCACCCCAGCTGTTTTAATCAATATAATAATATAGATAGGGATATTTTAATTAAGTTAATCGAAACATCAACTTGATTAATTGTATTTTCATTTTCTCAACCTATCAGTATCACTGTATTTTCATTCCTAATGGCAAATTCTTTGAAGCTATATTCTCTCTATTATATATATAGAAGGAAAAGGATAATATTAAAATTATCTGAAAGCAACGATGCCATATTCACATTAGGTGTGTTATCAGAACAGGATTTTATACCCGGACTCACGTCTATTGAAGACTGGAAACCATGAAATGGCATTCTCAGAGTGAAGACAATGATTAATCTAAACTTTTCCTGCTTGATTTTTTATGACAAGCCATGAAATAAAATACCATAGTCTAGTTTCTGCTGAGAATAGTAATTGATTATTCAAACTTCATATCAAACAATAAAGAAAGCAACTAAACCGAAATTCAAGTCAGGAAAACATAAGCAAAGTAGCCCACCTATAATATGTACATAACATAAACAAACAAATCAAACAGCAGAAGAATCTGTCTTTGTTTCTCCAAATGCACGTTTCTGGGCCAGCTCAAGCTCTTCATGATGATACACATATGCCAATCCACCATGGCTGGTTAAATCCAATCCAGCCATCTCCTCATCAGCTGAGATCCTCAGTAGATTCAATTTGTGCAACAAAAAGAACAAGGTTCCCATGGTAACACTCACCCAAGCTATGATCACCAAAATCTGAATAAGATGAGCAGCCAAAAGCTTTCCACCTCCTCCCATGAACAACCCATGTGGCCTATCAGGTAACCCTCCATAGACCTCATTCACATACTGCTTATTAGCAAACAATGCAGTGAAGATTATCCCCCAAGAGCCACAACCACCATGAAGTTGCACAGCCTCCAATGGATCATCATACTTGAATTTCTCAGCTAACACATTACATCCAATGAGAACCCAAGCAGCCACAAACCCACATATAATTGCTGCCCATGGATCCACCACAGAACACCCTGCAGTGATTGCAGCAAACCCACCAAGCAAACCATTGCAAACATCTGTGACATTCCAATGCCCAGTTTGTAAACGTTTTCCAAAGAGGGTTGTCAATGCTGCTGAGCATCCAGCAAGAGTTGTGGTCACTGCAGTCCTCCCAACAGCACTCCATTGCCCATAGTAAGAACCACTCTCACCATACACCTTCAAGATGTTAAGAAACGAACCAGGGTTGAATCCATACCAACCAAACCACAACAAGAACGTTCCCAAAACAACCAAAGTACCACTATGTCCTCTCATTGCCACAGGTCTTCCCTCATGATCAAACCTTCCAATACGAGGTCCTTCAATGAAAGCACCCCAGAAGCCAGCAACTGCACCAACCAAGTGCACCACACCTGAACCAGCAAAATCAATGACCCCAGTTCCAAATAACAAATCTTTAGACCTTGCAGGGCTTCCAAAACCATCACCAGACCAGAACCAATGAGAAACAACAGGGTAAACCAAACCAGTCAAGAAGGAAGAGTATATCAAATATGCAACAAACTGTGTCCTCTCAGCAATGGAACCACTGGTGATACCAGCAGCTGCAATGGCAAAAGCCCATTGAAAAAGAAAGAAAGCATAGTCAAAATCCTTAGAAGGGAACTTCTCAAGGCCAAAGAAGTGTGTCCCTATGAAACCATTTGATGGGGTGCCAAAAGCCAAGGCAAAACCAAAGAGATAGTAAAAGATACCACCAGTTGCAGCATCAAGGACATTGGTTAACATGATGTTCATGGTGTTCTTGGCACGTACAGAACCAGCACATAGCATGGCAAAGCCAAGTTGCATGGCAAAGACCATGTACGCAGAGAAGAGAAGGTAGGTTTTGTCCACAGCATTGGTGGTGTCAACAAACTTGTTTGAAATAGCATCAAAATGTTCACATATGTATTCAGCAGCGGCACTGCCATTGACATTGCCAAGAAGAGACTGGAGGTCACCGACGGAGCAGGTTAGCGCAGCCATTTTGGAGTTTCAAATCAAAGCCTACAAACGTAGTACACTTCGGAGTTAGGGTAGGTTAGGCTTCCACTGCATAAGCCTGGTGCACACTACCATATATATATATCCTCTTAAAACCTAAATAAAAATGAGAATGTTTTTGAAATGTTAAGTTGTTAACGGTATGAATGCATGATCAAATTGACCAAGGAAAATATTTTTAATATAATTAAATTGATTTATTACTCAATGAAGATTATTTTTTAACTTATATGAATCTTGCATTAAACAATGTTTTTGAAATGTTAAGTTGTTAACGGTATAATCAAATTGACCAAGGAAAATATTTTTAATATAATTAAATTGATTTATTACTCAATGAAAAGATTATTTTTTAACTTGTATGAATCTTGCATTAAATATATGTAAAGGAAAGAAATCTTGCATTAAACAAGTAAAAGGAAAGAAATATGGCATTAAATAAGTAAACGGATATAAACATATTAGGGATAAAATATTATATCTATCATTTTTTTCATATGCATTTTATTATCTTCTTTGCACACCGTTTAGAATGTAATTTTTTTTTTTTTTTTTCATAACATTAAGGGACGAAGCCCCAAACAAAAACTAACTAACAACCAGAAACAAAAAATAACTATCCAGGGTCTATATCCCTACAAGAGGAGATTCCCTGAAGATCGTGATCAAATAACTGAGCAAGGTGAAACGGTATAACTCTATGACTCCAGAATCCAGTATCTTTGTGAAGAGCAGACTTGGCTAACCAATCAGCACAGGAATTAGCTTCTCTTGGAATATGAGAAAACGTTACCTCCCAATCCTGACCGATGAGTGCTTGTAATTTCTTAACATATGGAGGAGAGAGAACGGGTAAAAATCTTTAAGGCTATAATCTAATGTGTGTAGATTTTAACTATTTGATAAGAGAGAAATGATGAAAGTATGCTAGTATTATTATCTAATGTTATGAAAAAAAAAAAAGTAGATAAAGTAAATATCAAAAAAAAGGCATAATATCTTATCTTTAATATATTATATATTATTCCTAAGTGAATAAGGATGTGAATAACATTTCTAAAAATATTTTTTTTTCTCTATTTTCTATGTGAAGAATAGAAATAGTTAAAAATTACATCTAATAAAATCGGTTTATTTTTCTCTTCTAGAGACCCGTGAACAAAAATTTTAAAAAAATAATTTATTTTTTTAATTTCTTTATTTATCTCTAGAAATAAGAGCAAACAACCGAGTACTTCTCGAGCACACCTAAATAAAAGAGAAAGATGTAGAAGTTTCTAATTATAAATAGAAATCATAAACTACACAAATTAAGAAAGAAAAAGAAAAAGAAATATTTATATGAAAGTAGTGCACCTAAATTGAGTAGATTTCTAATGACATTGTTAATTAATAAATAACATTATAGTTAATTAACAATTAATTACCATAATCAATTAAGTGATTGACCTACTGCACTTATAGGCTGAATTCTTATCATAAATTAACAACCAAATAATTAATCAAATACAAACCACTACTTGTTATGCACTGGTTTCAAGAGATGATACTTGGAATTCTTTGGTCCCTATAATTAATTTATTTTTTTAATTTAATCCCTGTAGAATCATAACAAGGACTATAAAAAAGGACTATTTTACTGATGATTAAGACAAGGGATTGATCTACAAAGAAAGTAATTGGAAACTAGAATGGGCAAATTATTCCCTTGCAAGGGTATGTCACAGACTCTCAGTGATAAAGAAAATAGGACATTCTGCAGAATGAAAACTTTTATGCACCTAGAACTATATAAATGATAGAAGTATATTAAACTACAGCTATCAAATTATACATCTTTGTTAACTAAGTTACAGGAGAAAATAATAAGACATATTCAAGTGAGGTTCCTGTGTCCTAGGACTATCATTGGGACACTAGGACAGACTGAAATCTTGACTCATCAAACAAATGTAATTAGCAGGTAACTCTCGGTTTAAAATGAGTCCAAAAAGTTGGAAGAACTGGACACTATCTGCTGATGACTACATCAGCAATCTTCAAGACATCCAGGTTGGGACTTGAATCTAGTGATTGCAAAACATGCCTGTTGCTGCCTTCATATACTAGGAGGAACCCACTTTCCAGCTTTGAACTTGCTATAAAAGCTGGATCGCTTAGAAACAACATAGAAGACTGCAAATACATCATAGTCAGATAAATTCTGAACAGAATTGCAAAAGAAATGACATTTCATGAACCACATTTCACCTGGGATCCCAGGGATGATGCAATTAGGCTCTTTCAGAACATCATGAAGTGATCTCCTTTCATTTACTCTGATCCATTTAGGGGAGCCTGATGGACATAGAATATCACATGATATAAGTTTTAACATAACAAGCACAGAGAGACCATGGCCAATCCCCCCCCCCCCCCCCCCCACCCACCTTTTTCTTTAAGAGAAAAAAACAATAAAACATGTGAAAATATGACTACAGGATCTCAACTGACATGAGATTTCAATGGTATGTAATGGCACCAGTTCTGGTTTATGCTGAATTGGAAGCAGCACCTCTTAAAATAGTCAAAACTCCAAACAAAGGCAAGTTCAAAGGGTGTACTAACAGTGTATGAGAATAGCACATCCAAGCTATAGCATGATCCACACATGATCAAAGGCTTATAGACAAGGAGAGAAAAAACCTTCAGATTAGAAGTCATTATTCCTTAGGAAAGTATACACAGAAACACACATATATGATATAACAGGATTAATTGACACCGATATAAGGGATTGGTTCTCATTTACATGATCCCATATCTAGAAAGGAGAAACCTACATGGTTGAATTCACATGAACTCATATTAAGGGTTACAAGCATGTAACGGGAATGTGTCTCTCTGCAATGACATATTTTCATATAAACCACTAGCAAGGAAAAGGAGTACATGTAAAGTGTAAACCATATGTATGGTACGTGTACAAGAACTGATATTAGAAAGGTTATACTTACAACCTATTTTTATTTATAACCTTTTACAACCATAATCTTAACAGTTGATTTCCGCCATTCAACGGTTATCATTTATTACGAATTAATAATTAATTAATAAATTTAATTTGCGAAAATAATAACCGTTGATTGACGGAAATCAACGGTTAAGATTATGGTTGTAAAAGGTTGTAAACAAAAATAGATTGTAAGTATAGCCTTCCTCTTAATTCAAAACTTTATATAATTTTCTTTAAGATAAGAGACGACATTTCAACATACATCACTTCATAGGCGCACCCCATCACTTCTCAGACTAACTGCTATTAATGGAAATGAGTACTAATTACTTTATATCAATATGATTTGAGATATCATTCAAGAATTATCTATACCAATCCAAGTATATAACTTCAGCCCAAGTAATATGGTTGGCTATTAAGACCTAAAAGTGGAAGTGGACTATGACCCTATGTGAACCTTAACCTCAATGTTAGGGGTTTGAACCTTGGAGTCACCACTTGGGGAGAATTTTACCTAGCCTCAAAACTATACTATCACCTCCAGCCCGGGATTATCCTCACAATTATACCTGTGGGGGATACCCTAGTCAAAAACCAAAAATTAACTAGTTTTTATATGAATTAAAGATTTCTTCATAGATGCCCTTTCTTTCTCTTTAATTTATCTGAGGTTTAAAAAGAGATTCACCAAGATTTACCAAACAATATGATATTAAACTATTCAAAATCAAATATAGATTTACAATACCAGTTATGAACTACTTATTTTTATTATCCAAACAAACCCTGAAGATTAATCATAAGGAGCCAATAATTTAGACAGGATGGAAAAGTTTTAATCATAAATCATAAAGAATGTTTCACCATAAATTGTTTATATCCTTACCACAAAAGTTATACTACTTTTTGCACATTATAAACCACTAAAGCAGGGCAATGTAGCCATACAAAAACTAGACATCAATTGCAAAGGAGGAAGAAAAGAACATCAAAAGTAACATACCCATGTTTGGCTTAAAACCCTCAATTGCATCTTTCTCTTCATCACCAACGCCTTCTCTGTGAGAAGCTGCAGTTCCCTCTAATAGACAATGAAGAAGTTTTTCCTTAAATATACAATGTCCAGAATCAGCCTGACAAAACAAGGACTAAGTGGTGAGAAAAAAACAAATGCATTAAGTATAAAGTGTCAAACATTTGATAAAAATATGTCAATATGAACTACGCTGCCAAAAATTGATATTATAAATATCATCATAGCAGTCCAAGTTAGTAAAACCTAAAATGTTTATAAAAGAAATACAAAAAAAAAAAAATGTTCATAAAAGAAAAGGCAAGTGGAAATACATGTGGGGATAGCTACTCTGTAAGAGTCAAAACCAATTGAAAGATACAGCTTATGACAACTACAAATATCCACTTGTGCGGTATCTGAAGCTGGTTTTATTTTCATTTCCATTTTTCTCATTCAATTTTGATCAGCAATCAAAATGGTTGGTAAATTTTGAGCATCATTATGTGCATACTGAAGCAACATTTGGTTTGATTTAGATCCACAACACAAACTTTGAGCATTTATATAAATGATTACAATGTCTTCGTCTACCAAAAATATCCAATAACTGGCACAAGATAAATCTTGGTAGTTGGTACACCGTACGCCTCATCAACAAGTAAGAGAAACTGCAAAAGAACTATTTACAAATGGAGGATATTAATGGTATGGCCTTGCTCCATGAGAAGTTCAACATTACATGTTTTTCAACAAAAAAAACATATATATAATGACATTTCAAGAAAGCAATAAAAAAAAAATCGTTGAGGCCTTACCTCATAGTATACTTCAATATATTCGCGTTTGTAATTGTTTTCAACATCCCATGGGAGCGGCTGGTCTTCTGCAAACATGTTTGATAGCGCTAAGGGTGTAACACGTTCAAACACATGAAACTCATTTATATATAATGCATACAAACCATTTCAGAGAAAAAGGATATCATATCAAGGTGAACTGAAAACATGTCAGTCTCACAAAAATCCTCAATGAAGTCACTGGACATAACCTCCGCATACAGAAGAAGAACAGGCCAATGAAGGATATTACTTTTGTCTAACACAGGTTTCCTTAATCCAGCAAGTTCTCGATACATTGCCTTTCCAATCTTCAAGCCTCTATGTTCTATTGCAGACACAAGTTCCTAAATAGTTTTTGTTCAAAAGACATGAGCCTCCATATAATAAAACAGACATCAAACACATAATAAAACAGTTCAAAGTTTATACCTTTGTCTCTGCAACAACCTTAGAGACTTCAGCTTCATGCTTCTCATTCTCTGATATCTTCATACCAACCTGCTTCTCAAGCTTCTTCAATTCCTCATTATTGGGGTCCAACTGAAGACCCTTTTGGCAATGGTCTTGTGCTTCAGCCAACAAATTTAGTGCAAGAGATGCTTTGGCAGCTCTATAAATTGCCTAATCATAGTTGCCATTACTTTGACACATCAAACCAATGAATTACAAGAAGCAAACAAAAATCCCCAACACACATAAAGTAAGCACCTTTATATTAGAGGGGCACAACTTGAGTGCCTCCAGAGAATCAGTGAGAGCACGTCTATGATTTCCTAGCAGCAAATTCACATGAGCTCTATTTGCAAAAAGAATAGAGTTTTCAGAGTCACTCAATGCTTTCTGATTGATTGCTCTTGTGTAGCAATCAATGGCATCAGAGTAATGCTTCTTACCCATCTTCACATATTGGTTACCCTTTTCCTAAAAGATAAAATTGAATTTGAAGGATGAACTGAAATCAAAACCAAAAGAGACAAAAATAATGTTTTTTTTTTTAATATTTCACAAACCATAGTAATATACCTTAAGTTCAATGGCTGCAGATTCTTTGAGTGCAGTAATGGCTTCAAGGTCTGCCTTCTCTTTTTCGGTCAAGGGCTCAGAACCATTTTCCATCCATAGCGCCATCCTCACCTTGTTTTGCTATTTGCTCTGAGCTTTCCTCTTTACAATGGTTTCGTTATATTTTAGAAGAAACCAGAAACTATATTATATGTAAGGTTTTTATACTGAGTTATTCGTAGGAGAAGTGATTCTCTCACGTTATTGAGATGATTTGTTTTATGTGCCGAAGTTTTTTTTTTTTTTTTTTGCTGCGGGTCCCATAAAATATTGTGTTAAGTGTGTAGGAAATTTTTTGTGATTATATTAAATGATAGATAATAAACCCTATATGTAATGTAACTATGTGATATTTTGATGTGTAGTAAAAAAATTAATTTAACATTTAAATAAATCCATATCTTCTCATGATTGAAAATATTTTGTATGTACTAAGGCTTTGGGCATACCTTCATAACCTAAACTTTTGTTCACAAGAAAAATAGTTTTGAGATTTGATGGATATAATTTTTTATGATTTTGACGAATAATTTTTTAACAAAAGTTAATGGAGTAATAACTATTATTAAATTAATGAAAACATTTATAAATATAACATGTACAAATAAGATTTTCAACTCAAGTGTGAAATTTGTAAATTACTCGTTAAATACATTATTCAGGCTTAGAAACCATTTATGCTGGTGAAAATTAAACTTATTTTTATAGAATTGGTTTTATATATATGTGTAACTATGATTTAACTCATAGTTACACACGTTATATCTTACGGGGTGAATTGACTAAAATCATCTTCCACAGAAAGTTATGGCGCAATGTAAATATCTAAAATCTTATACCAATATTAAATTTTGTCCGCCCTATAATTTATCAAACTTTTGGGTCAAAAATAATGTTGAATTTTGATCTTTATATCATGTAGAATTTTGATCTTTATACAGGTAAAATTTAATTTTTATATAACTTAACATTAGTTATAATATATTCTTAATAAATTAAAAATCATGTTCCCAGAAAGGTACTTGCACAAGATTGTCAAAGCTGCGTTCAATTGAAATATTTCAGAAAATTTCCCAAAAAATGTGATTAAGGTTCAAATCACTCGATGCTTTTTGAAAGTAAACATCGTGCATTTCCCAGAGAGGTGCTGCATTTTTTTTATAATCCTATTAGCAAATAAAAGTGATATATGTCACATTTTTCTATAAATATAGTCAGTAAGACTTTTCCATTTTAAATGGCACTACTCTTTCCCTTTAAAAAAATGATGTTATGCACAAAATTTAGATAAATAGGAAACTCTACATAATTGGAAAAAAAACACTCCTCAACTATTTGTGCTAGTCTAACTCGCTTTGTTCCTATTCTTACATCCATTACCCCATTACCCCAATGGGATGGTGCTAGGCAAAAAAGCAAGGACTGGTCTTTGACTACATACAACGAAATAAAGCAAAACTAAATTAGGCTATGCTAGCAATAGCACTATGCATCTAACTTATCATCAACCATGGGGATTAGGGAACATCTAACATGTTCAGCTCTTAACACATGTTGATGAGCCTCAAAATGAAACATGCCATATATTACTCAGAACTGAGCAAGTCATAAATATCATGTAGCATCATTCATCTGTTAGCCAATCCTGAACACTTCCATTGAAGACAGCAATAAGTACCAGAGCTCTTGGCTTGTCACCTGAACTCATTCAATATTAGTTGAGATAAAAGCATGCCTGTATCAACTAAGCCAAGATCAGGAGATGGTATATTCAGTTCAGATGGCAAAACATCTTCTGTTACCATAAAGAGTCCTCATCCAAAAGCCAGTTTTCAATATCAACAAGTGAACCGGGTGAATGAGAACATTCAATTAGAGGTTCAATGCTTCCAGCAAACTGAGTACCCGGCTCCTTGATAATGGGTGGTTGGTTTATAGATCCTGAGCTTTGTAGAGGAGAACATTCAATTAGAGGTTCAATACTTTGACTGATATTCTCTGTCCAACTTGAGTCAAAAGCTGAAAATTTTCCAGCATTTTCACTTGGACCCTCTTCATGTGGTTTTGTTTGGCAAGTATCTCCACTTGCAATTCCACATTCTGTAATATTTCCACTAGCATTTTCATTTTGACTTCTGATTTGTTGCTCATTTCCATGCTGATTGGTATTCAGGCATGCCACATAACTTGAAGGAGCATCATTACCCTGAATACAAGTTTGATATAAATCCTGGCTATAATTTGATTGGGACAATGGCTGGCTATATGCTTTGGTTTCAGATGCCCCAGCATGCTGGTCAACACAACTTGGGCTCGCTGGATCAGACCTTGGATGTGAGTAAAATGATGAATTTACAGAATGAAAAACATCATCCGGCCCATTGCGATTTCTGTGATTTGAGAATCCTGTTGTGGTATGATATTTGTCACATTGCTGTGTTGCATTAACATGATTGCTGCAGCCAGATGAACCATCAGACGAATGATTCACTGTCTGAGTGTTCCTGGCACTGCCTACCCCCTTGGACATTATATGAGGACGAAGGAAATCAGGCCCTAATACGCTTGCACCGCTTCCTCGCTCCCTTTGGATGGCATGCCCACGTACACCCAGCAACTGCCTTGGTACAGAGTGAGACCGGTATCTGTTTCTCACCCAAGTAGGTCCTGGTTTATGAAATCCACCATGGTTTGCACCATTTGGGATTGTTAAGTTGGTGGCTGCAGAACCTACACGGATGTTAATTGGTCTAGAGACCTGATTCTGCAAACTAGAATTCAGTAAGGGGGGGACGGAACATGTTATCGTTGGCATAGAGGGCTGCTTTTGAGGGATGGAATTGAGTGAGGAGCAAGTACGCGTTGCAGTTGATCTGGATGCTTGATTCTGTAACACAGAATTTGGAGACAAGTGAATAATATCAACAGGCGTAATTTCGGTACACTGGGCATGTATTGCACCAAGTGAAGCATCATAGTTAGTTGCAAGTAATGCCAAACTCTGGCCCGGCTTGAAACTTTTCCTCTGAATGTTCCACAGGTCAGTTTTATCATTTGCATGACAATGATCTGAACTCAAAATGCCAGTGCCCCACATTAGACATGGTGCTAGGGAGTCACAGACATAACAGTGGCACTGCATATCAAAAACATAAATGAAAGTTATAGAAAGATAATATGAAATAGCAAACAAAACATAGAAACAATGATAATTAAATAAGCTAAAGCAAAAGTGCTAAATTTTGACATACTCCAAAGTTATGATCTTTTTAGTTTTTTACCTGGCCACAGTGTCTCTCATGTGGGGTGGAAGAGAAAGGAAATTTAACACAAAGATGTCGGGGATGAGGATAGTCTCTACATGCAATCTGCAAACCAAAAATAAATGAGCCTCTAAAGCTGAAATGCTAGAGCTACATCTTTCTCGCATTAGCAAAGAATAGTATGAAAATAGTAAATATGAGTAAACATGGCCATGCAAACCAAAGAAAATTTCGGACAATAATCAAATAATAACATGAGCAGATAGCAACTAGTAACCTGCACTAGAAACAAATGCCTCAATGAAAGTATAAATCCCTGTTTAAACATGTATTCTCATACATCTTAAAAGTTATGGAACTTCGCTAAAAGTTTACATATAGAAAAATCATTGATAACCATCAAGTTGAAACATAGGGCATTATGATGAAGGATCATTTAAAGCTATGCTTTCCATATACTGTGGATAGAGCTAGCAACATTTAACCTACCTTAGGGTCTCAACTCTCAATCAAGATCAGTGATTCTAATTTCAATTTTTGAATATGAGTTCATTTATATAGTGTTTTCTCAGATGCAATAGCCAAGATGTATGGCCCAGGATTGAAGTCTTCTGCCATCTCAAACTCCCTCATATCTTCAGCCACCTTAACTTTCCTCATGTGGCAATTTCATGCCCTGCAAGAATTTTCCATGAGGCTAACCTTGGCAATGGTGTTCCTTTATATGCTGTTCAGATATTGAGGACCTAATCTAACTTATGGTGAATTGGCACTTGAATAGAAAGCAACCCCCCCCCCCCCCCCCCCCCCCTCTTCTTTCTTCTTCTCTCCCCCCCCAAAACCACATGACCTGATAGTTTAGAGATACAACTTTAAACCTGCCATCCTAGATGTTTGAATCCACAAACAAGCTCATCAGATTCCATACTCATTCCATGAACCCAGACAATCCACACTCAAAGCATTAAACAACATCATAAAATAAAAATAAAAAAATACATGCTTTATACATAGAAGGAAAAAAAGAATAAAAAAACTTACCAATAGATCTAACTAAAAATTTTGGAAAACAAAACTACTTCCATTGCATCGGCAACCCAGAGGCAGGAAACAAGTAAATTGAAAAGTCCACCCAAACCCAATATGGTAACATCTTAAATGAGAGAAACTATCTCATCAAGTTGCAATGGAATATGAAGGTCAATTTCAAAGCACTTCTGAAATGATAATGCAAAATGAAGCATAAAGAATCCAACACAACTAGGAGGATAGAAAAATATCCAATGCCTAGACATCAAACAAAAAAGATTGAATTAATAAAACTACTGGAAATGGTTTCCTTGACAGAAAATATTCCCATGAAAAATATCCATTCAAGCTAAACACATCAAGGAAATGGTTTCAGCTTTATTGTGCTTGTTGATGTTTCCTATAATAAAATTCATATATCAAGCCTTACACCAAACTACCAAAGCTTAGTTAATCACAAATAACTACAATTCATAGTACATCCATATAACACAAATAGGGCCTACATCCATGTCTGCAACACAAATCTAAAAAACTAAACCACCCCAAAGCAATACATTCTCTGTTTCTGCCTTCTCTTTCCCAATAACAACTCAAAGCTTCAGACTTTAGAATACAATTCCCATAAGGACTAACTTAATGAAGCAATAAACTGAAGGACATACCTGACCCTTCTCCCCAACTACACGCAACTCGTCCGACCCAGTTGCATCCTCATCCACAGAAACAACACCTTTTTCTGGGTCACCCTCTAGAACCACGCAATCATCATCATCATCATCATCTTTCGCAGCCAAAGTGGAAGACTTTGACTTCAACTCAGGTTTGTTCTCATGGACGAAGACAACATCGTCAGAATCACCTGATTCTTCATCAGACATAAAAAGAAACTCTTTGATCCAATCAAAGTCAGTGCTTTTAGACCCCTCCTCCGAACCCTTTTCTTCATCGGAGCTTATATCCAATACCACAGGCATGGCTTCCACAATAAATCAACAACAACAACAACAATAACTAGGTTTCCTATTAAACCTTTAAAAAATTGGAATTTTTGGAGCAACCTCGTAGTGGGGTTATGTGAATTCTCCCAGAAAATCCCACAGAATGAGAAGGGTTATATCAAAAACCATGGTAGAAGCCACGTCCTGCAATGAAACAAATGGGAATGATATCTGCCCCAGAGAGTAATTGAAAAACCCCTTTCACGTTTGGCTCAGAAATTTGCTAGAAAGGAAAAGGCTTTGCAAGAAAGAAACAAAATTTGAAAGAAGTTCATTTCAGGGTTTTTGACCCTTATAACCCTTTATTATTAACTAATTACCGATTTGACCTTGATTATAAACTATTTCAAAAATTTAACCCCCTCAAAAAACATAACACCAATCTGCCCCTGTTTGACCGTTGACCACCAAGCCTACCCGGGTACACCCCTCTGTACCCGGGTATTTTTTGAAAATTTTTGTCTACCCGGGTAAGGAGGAGTGTACCAGGGTATTGTTCTTCGTACCTGAGAAATTGCTTGAATTATTTACCCGGGTAGGGAGGGGTGTACCCGGGTAAATCTTCGACCACCCATTTGGTACTTGCTATAACTGGGGCAACTTGTAGCTGATGGATATAAGAACAAATATGATTTATTTGATTTTACCACAAGTTAATTATATTTGCGGATGTGTAATTAATTGTTTCATGGTAATTTTTTTTCTCTCTCTTTTTTACAGCTAACGAGATAGATCGGTATTATCAAGTTAAGCATGCCTAACCAATTTGAAGAGCTTTTAGCTTTGAGAATGGATTTGGAATTTCCATACATCAACACTTTACTGCTCATCAAAGCGGTCCCTGTTCGTATCGATTATGATGGGGTCTACTTTTATAGTGTTAACTGAGAATTCCCTTTCTAAAATAATCATTGAAAAATATTTGTGTGCTTTACAGACCCAAAAAAGTTGCAGAGGCGGAGCATGTGATAGTGGGTGCCTCCATATTCAAAGCTTGGAGAAGAAGAGTGCATGGGAGATCCAAAGAGTAATCATACTCGGGTGGTCGAAGATTTACCCGGGTACACTCCTCTCTACCCGGGTAAATAATTCAAGCAATTTCTCAGGTGCGAAGAACAATACCTGGGTACACGCCTCCCTACCCGGGTAGACAAAAATTTTCAAAAAATACCCGAGTACAGAGGGGTGTACCCGGGTAGGCTTGGTGGTCAACGGTCAAACAGGGGCAGATTGGTGTTATGTTTTTTGAGAGGGTTAAATTTTTGAAATAGTTTATAATCAAGGTCAAATCGGTAATTAATTAATAATAAAGGGTTATAAGAGTAAAAAAGCCTTCATTTCAAGGAAGAAAAGGGATTAGAGGGAATTGGTACAAAAACCCTAAACAAAAACCGTGTACAAGAAAAAAAATTTGGTGACCGGAAATCATGATCAATGGAAATTCAGTAGAAATTGAGTTTACTTGGAATCTTACGAAAGATGTGTTTGGTTCGCCAAAATATTACCGGGAATATTGGGTAAAAATTACTAATTCTATATTTGATTTAGAACAAAATATGACTTGGAATATGAGGTTATTTTACAAAAATAACCCCAAACTATTTTTACTTTTGTAATTGATAGATTGGGTCTAGATTTTTATGTGTATTGGGGTATTTTTGTCTCAAAATTTATTGTTGTGCTTTCCCTTTACTTGATATTCTGATTGGTATTCCGAATTATCATATTATTTTTGGTAATCTGAATAGTGACTTTTCTTTATAAATCAAATTACCAGTAATCCTTGGATATCCGGGAATCGTAATTTATTCCTTCTACCAAACGTGGTAATTACATTTACCAAAGAAGGATTACCGGTAATCCTCTCCAAAAACTTGAACCAAACACCCCCGGAGATTGGGGGATTTTCGAGTTGAATTAGGTGTTAATTTGGGAGAGGCATTTGCATATGAGAAGGAGAAAGGAGTCGGAAATGCAGAAGTGTCGAGAGTGAAAAAAATAAAGGGTTTGTTTTTTTTTTTAAAGTTAATTTAGATAACTTTATCTAATGTTCATTGAAACGATGTCGTTTTGGGACAGAAATCATGGTATTTTTGTAATTTAAATTTATTTCTGGGTTATAATAGTCTTTATCATTCTAATTTTTTAATTTTCAACTCCAAAACGACGTCGTTTCGATAAACATTAGACAAAGTTGTCTTAGATACTTTTTTCCTAAAAATAAAATAATAATAACAGGGAGAATGATCCGTTTACAAATTTTTTTTACAAAATTTTGCAAATTATACTACGTACTCTGGAAAGAACATAGTGTAAATTAGTGTTCTTTCGAGAGTACATAGTGTAATGTATAGGAGTTTATAAATAAAAAGTTTGCAAATATAACCCTCATCATAATAATAACGAGGGAAAATTGTTTGTAAGTACATAGAGTTGTCTAATTTCTGTTATTTTAAATATTTTAAATTGGAGAAAGATATAAAATTAATATTTTTATTTAAAATTTTAAATTAAAAAAATTATCCACTTTCTTTCTTTCTAATTTTCATTAGTTGTGTCTTTCTAACTTAAAATGACATAACTTTGTGTCCTTAAAGACAAATATCAAACCCTAATAATAATAAATAAATAAAAACCGTTTTGTAAGAGTATTTAATAATATTGGGGGGAATATTTGTTATTTTAAATAACATAATTTTGTTGTTGTTTTAAATGAAAGTATTGTTTTTGATGGATTTTTTTGGTTGCTCTTTCACAATACTCTCGCATTCTCTCTCTTTTCTGATTTTATGGTTGAGAAAATATAAAAAAATTATCAAATATAAATCAAAACACTATTGTTTCACTTAAAATGATTGTGTCTTGATGGATTTTTACCTTCTTTCTTCCATGATACTCTCTTATTCTGATTTCATGGAAGAGAAAAAATATAAAAAATCATTAAATTAAATATATATCAAAATCAGATCGATTCACTTAAAATGATATAAAATTGTGTCATTGAAATAACAAACATTTTTCCCAATTAAATATTTGTATTTTTATTTAAAATTATGGAATTGCTCTACTACAATTATCACATTGATGAGAAGTCTCCCTGTTTTTATTTTTTTACTAAGTATATTTAAGAAAATTGTTAATGAATTATGAATGAAAAAGAAAAAATATTTATGACAGAAAAGGAATTTGGCAGTTTATATGGTCACGATGGTATTTTTTTTTTTTTTGAGATATTTCAATCGGTTCATCGTTTCGCGACTAGTCCGATTCGGGCGGGTCTAAGATTAAGTCTTTAAATCCCTTCTAAAGACGATATTAGGAAGTATCAAACAAATGCTCTTATCCTTACCTGTTCAGTTCTCTAATGCTAACTAAGCTACTATCATTTGGTAATGGAAAATTTATTTTGAAGTAATCTCAATCTTTTTAAATATTTATTTTAATAATTTTTAATCATAAAATAAATATGATTTTAAATTTATCTATTTAATTTAATTTTTATTGTATATTAGAAAATTTATTGAAATACATTTCAAAAATATAACTAGATTATTATATTTATTTATGATATAAGGAAGAAAATGATAAATGACACTTACAATGACTATTTGATGTGAGGTTACATGAACTTGTGCACTTCCTAGGAAATTTCTAAGGAGAAAAATGGGTGTCAGAGTGAGAGAGAGAAATGGAGATTGACCAAGAATATACGCTATAAAGCCATTAAATTGGTTTAGTTGGTGAGGGTGGATTGTATTAAGTTGTATGTTAAATTTTTATTTGTATTAAAAAAAAAATATGTTATTAATAAAGTTTGACACAGTTGACAGATAATTAGGTCATTTAAGCATACTGATAGAGATTCGATTGCTGACTATATATATGAAAAAGACTTTATTGAAAGACTGTACTCATAATCACGTGATCTCATGAAACAATTTAAAAAAAAAAAAAAGAATACATGCTATAAATTTTACCCTTTGGAAAATTTTCAGGGATAAAAAAAGGAAAAGATATATAAGGACAAAATATATTGATTACCTTCTTTATGATTGAAGAGTGACGAAGCTTTAATATCCTCAAATTATGGTCAAATCTATCCAGAGGAGAATAAATTATACTATATTTTATTGAATTAATATAAGAGTCAAACATTATATTAAAATAATAAAATTAGTGGTTGTCCTTTTGAAAAACGTAAAATTATGCTATTTTAGTCAAAATTAATATATTTTATATTAAGAGAAACAAAAATTATGATAGGAGAAGTGAATTTTTTTTAATTTAAATATTAAATAAATAATAATAATTTTAATTAAAATGACTATTATATGAAAGAATAAATATTTTTTTCTAAAATAATAAGAATGCCTACCACCTGAAATTGTAAAAGGCAAAAAAATAGTTAATTTATTTTCTTAGAAGAAAAACCTTAATATGAGGTTCCAACAGAATTCGCAAAGGGAGAAACTTTAGAAAGCATTAATATATGGAAAAACACTTATCAGTTATCATGTTATATGAGAATCATGTTGTGTATTTTCTATTTGTGTGCACTTTTTTTTTTTTTAATAAATATGAAACCCACAACTAGTTGAGTCACAACATGAGAATTCAATTCTTATATAATATGAAAAAAATCAAAAACCTTAATATATAGTGAGAAATGCCCCTATGGTGAAGTGGAAGTAAGAAAAAGAAGAAACAGATTCTCACCTTCGAGTTGGAGACTTGAGACTTGAAAGGGTCATGGTGATTGATGGGTAAACAAGAAAAGAAGATAAAAAGAAGAGAAGAAGCACGGTAGAGGAGAAGGACCACGTGAAGGACCACGTGATTATGAGATCGTATATATAATAATAAATATATAAAGTTTTGTTTAATCTTTCTGTTATAATTATATGCTTCGAAGAATATATAATTATAATGTTAAAATTATAATTTTTTAAATCTCATAAAAAATTTGTTTGCTGAAGCGGAAAGTAAAAAAATATATATAATTTTAATATTATAATTATATATTTTTTAAAATTATAATTATAATAGGATAATTAAATAAAACCTAATATCTAGTGACTCACTGAACACTATATAGACCCTAATAAACAATGACCCACATATAAGATTGCGTACAAGATTAAGCTGTGTAGCACGGATGACAATGGGAGAAATTTATAAGATATTGGATAGTGGGTAAATG